GAGTGGGTGCACAGCCACAATCGCACCAGATCCTGATAGCCCTCGATCAGGGCTACTGGAATATATCAAAATATGTCCCCGTATCCAGGGTTGCCAGTGAGATACGGGCCCGTATTCAGTTGGCAGATTTTGGTTACACCCGTATTTTGTGAATACGGGCTCTGTTTGGGCCGGCCAGCACAGCCACTGCTACGAAAACACCATCAGTGCGTAGCCATGACCCAGGGCTACTCAGAAACGTGCAAATACGGGGTAGAATTCCTAACGGTTCCCGAGCTATGGCCTCCGTATTCAATCCGTATCCACCCGTATTTGTGCCACTGACCTCAGTGGCAGGTATTATAGTGTTAGGGCTATTCAGACGCGCTTTGAAGTGACTTTACTTCCAGGGTGGTTGCGGAGATATGGGCACAACACTGCTCAGCCACCCAGCTTGGGTCTGCCCTGGAAGTAAGCTCATTGTGCGCCAACCAGGGCAGCTATGGACATGCAACCACCTGCATATTGTAGCCGTGATCGGGGGCTATCCAGACGCGTTTTGAAGTAAGTTTACTTCCAGGGTGGTTGTGGAGATAGGCCCATTTCACTCTGGGGCAGTGGCAGTGGTCAGAGCGAATTTTGGTACATTATGCACAGCCACAATTGTACCCATTCCAGATAGCCCTGATCGAGGGCTCCAAGAATATATCATAATATCACCTTACTTCCTGGGTAGATGCCCCAGAAAAGGCTTACTTCCATCCTGCATACCCTTACTTCCACTGGAAGTAAGCTCATTGTGGCTGAACCAGAGCAGCTATAATCATGAGATAAACTGGGTATTGTAGCCCTGAATGAGGGCTATAAAAACGCGCTTTAAAGCTAGTTTACTTCCAGGGTGGTTGTGGAGATATCCACCCATCACTGCTGCCTGACTTGCATGCCCTGCCAGCAAAGACTGGCTCATATCTCAGCATCCAGGCCAGCAATTAATATGCTGTAAATTGCGTGTTGTAGACGTCGCCCAGGGCTATTAGAATCCACTTTGAAGTGAGTTTACTTCCATAGTTGCTGCGGAGATATGGCCCAGTCAGCCCAGCCCACAGGGGAGAGCCCATGTTTGGGGTGGGCGCACAGCCACAATCGTACTCATTTGTTGTAGCCCTGATTGAGGGCTTCAAGAATATACCATAATATGACCTTACTTCCAGGGTTGCTGTGGAGAAAAAGCTTACTTCCATGTCCGATACCCTTACTTCCGACGGAAGTAAGCTCACCGTCGGCCCGGACGCACAGCCACCGGCACGTAACCACCACCATCGTGTAGCCAAGAAGCGGGGCTACCATAAAACCTTTGGAAGTAAGGGTATATCCCTAACGGTTGCCGAGATACGACCTTACTTCCGCCTTACTTCCACCTTACTTCCGCCCTTCTGAGCTCAAAAGGGGGTTTTATAGAGATAGGCTTCTTACCGGCCATTCGGAGAGTTCGAGTTGTCGCCCAGTTCAGATGTAGAGTTGTCGCCCAGAGAGACAGCGCTCAGAGTGACAGATCGCAGAAAGAGCAGAGTTCACCCGACGCGCGGCCTGGCGCCACCGTACGTGCATCCGCCGCATGGCTCGCACTGCCACACGCCACACGCCACGCGCGTTTCCCCCTCCAAGATCTACTGCCCTCAGATCCCTACGCCACCGCTCTCCTCCCCTTTCCTTGCGTACCTCTTTCTCTTTCTCCCCCTCTCTGCTATACATATCTCCTGGACGCCACTGTTCGCAACACTATGCTACCTACCATTTGCCGCCACTACCCCACCCCCGAGCGAGCTCGCTATCCCATAGACTGGCCACCACCTCTGGTACACTCAGGCACAACTCGGGCCACAATAGTCTACTTTTAGCTAGCGCATATCGTAGTCGTAGCGGCCGACCGCTAGCCCGGCACCACGCCCCGGCTGATTCACGTGTAGTCCTAGCGGCCGACCGCTACACCGGCGCGTTCTCCCCTCTCTGCCGCCCTGTTTAGCCCTCTAACCCGTAGCTCTAGCGGTCGACCGCTACGCAGACGCGCTCTCCCCGCTCACAATGGCTGCTTTCCTCTCCAAGCCGTAGCTCGAGCGGTTGACCGCTACACCGGCGCATTGCATACGACCGTCCTCGCTACTTATACCTCGCAACGCTAACCTGTATTACCTTTATCATTACTCTCGCCTGCTCCTTACTTACCTACTTATTTACTTGCGTACTTACTTAGTGTATATCTTCTTTGAAGAACGCACATTCAATATATTTATCAACGCCTTTTCCGCACATTCTCTTCAACTTCTCCCTTACTAACCTTTCCCTTTGCCCTTCGTCCCGCATTCTACCTCGCTCTCTTCTCCTCTTGCTACCCTCTTCGCCTACTATAACTCGCTTTCCATACTCACTAGCCAACGGCCCCGACTTGCCCTGGCACCCTACCACACCAGCGGCGTCTGCAGCCTCCTAACCTGTGTCCTTCCTCTACCTCCTCCTCTCCTGCCTCTTCCCCTCGCCTGCACCCGCCCCGTCCCCTTTCCCGCCACTACCTTGCCCTGCCGCCACTCTCCGCAACCGTCTCCGGCCGCAATCGCCTCGCCCGCGTCGCTCATCAAATATAAGGCACACATTGCCCGGCAACAACTCCGCGCCCCCGCCCGACCACTCGGCCCCGCTTCCCCGCCTTATCTTTCTCCCTCGCCCCCTTTTCACCCTCCGCCCTCGCCTCTTCTACCTCGTCCTCCGCTTTCCCCGCCGTCCGCCCCTTCCCTTCTCCCTCCCACTTCCCCCTCCCCTGCTCGCACTCTGCCTCCCCCTCCTCTTCATCGTCCCCCGTTCCCCTCCCTTTTGCCCTCACACCACCCCGCTCGACTGCCCTATTTGCATCGTCGCTCACTACTTACTATTACTTTCTTATAGCACTTTAAAACAGCCACTACGTATTTTCTATGACATAGTAGCTACGATCGAGCGTTTTTTGACTTTGCGCGCGATTCCCCTATTTCTCGTTCAAACGCCCATTTGGCGTTAGCTCCAGCGGTCGACCGCTGCAGCTACGCCTTTTAGGCGCCGGCCCGCGCGCCTCCGCACACATGTATTTCTTTTTAAATAACAATTACCTGCATCTAACTCGCCCTCACCGGGGCTTATCCGCCAAAATCCTCGCCAGAACCCTGCCCTAACCCGGAGGGGGCTTAGGAAAACAGGGTTAAATGATGTCGTCGGGGCGACCGTGTGCCTAGTCTGGGACATGATGGGTGCAAATGACGCGGGAACAGAAGACGTGAGTCTGATTATGAGAGCCTCGTGAGCACCGCGCTCTTCGGAAGAGACTCACTCAACGCCGACGCGCAACACCACTCCGTCTTCTCGGCGTTGAGTAAGGCGTGCGCGGATAACCCCGCGTCCGAGCGTGAAGCCTCATCGGCAGCCTCGTATCGGCCACGATCCTCGGCTCGTTCACGCCCACTCCCCCACCGATGTCGATCGTCGCGCCAAAGCCCGTCCATTTCCACCCCTTGGTGCTCGGGGCTGTCCCTGCGCCGACTCATAGTCACGGCGCAACGTTCTCTACCTCAAGATGCTCGACGGGAAGGTGGGCCCCGTTGCGTGCAGCACTCACGCGCAGCATCGGCGAAAACGAGCTATAGATGTAGGAGGCCCTGTTGGCCTCGCGCGTCACGTCGATACCGAGCCATGGCGCTGCGCCAGGCCGCGCACATCCCTCAAATTATGCGTAGACGTACAGCTTCTGGATGCCAGGGAACGCATGCGCCAGCGCGGTCACGATTGGCCCACGCGCGATGTGGAGGCGGAGCTCACGCACGGCGGGGCAGCGGCGTTTGTTCGTGACCACGACGAACACGACTTCCGACGCGGGCAGAACACGAAGCCTCTTCATCGAGTGCGCAAGGAGGGGTAGGGGATCAGGGACATATAGGGACGTACGGACGTGCGCGGTCGCGGTCGCGGCGAGTGGTTGCGGGGTGGGCGGAGGAGGGGAAAATCCTGAGAACTCGCCGTTGGGTACGGCGAGGACAGAAACGTACTGTTGCGCGGCCGGTGAATGTGAATCCTAGCCTGCGGGCGTCGCCCTGCAGACGGCCGCGACCCAAGCGTCGTGAAAGATGAGCTCGACCTCCAGGACTCAGCATTCCGGAGGAGTTCACAGGCGCAGAGCTGAACTTCCGATGTGTTAGATTCGAGGATGCGTGCGCGAGTGTGCGTAGGAGGGCGAGATCACATGCAAGGAGGACTTCGGTGTGCGGCGTACAAAAAAGAGGCGTGCAAATGGAGGGCGCACCATGGCGCTACCAGCCTGCAGGCAGGCAATCAGCATCTCCGCGGCGCTCGTTTCCATCCAATCGTGCAGGATAAGTGTTACAATGAGTGACAAAACTCACCAAATATATGTGCCATGGTATGTGCGACGCGAACGTCTTCCGCGCGCCGGGGAGGTGCTCCCCTAGGTGTGCACGATAGTCTCTCTGGCTTGTCCAAACGACGATCGTACGACATGTTCATAGTGGAGATATGCGTACAGAGGTCGCCCATGGATGCTTTTCCTAGATATACCGTCGGAAATACGAACCGCGAGCCGCTTGGACCCGTAGCAGGGTCGCTCGCGCAGGTGGTCGAAACAAGACATCCAGCCTAAGTTGAAGCCAAGACGGCATCCCACAAGCGCACATGAGGTCTCAAGAAACGACAGACAGAGTCAGAATCCATAAAGCACAAGCGGGTGAGCTGCTTGCGGAAGGGCAGACGCGAGGACATCAAGGTACGAACGAAGAGAGGTGATGAGCGCCTATTTACCGCGCCCACAAACCCCCATAGCCATCGTGGTCGACAATCCTCGCTCGGCCTACATCTCCTCACGCGTTGCGCATCGCCCGCTCAAATACGCAACTTATATGAGGATAAGATGAGTTATGTTCAGGTACCGTACAACATCACTACGAAAGAGACACTGCGACGGTACACTACGCCCTCCGCGCGGGGGGCGGGGAGTAGAAATGCGGCTGCACGGCGGCGCGGGGCTGGAATAGACTATGAGCGGGTATATACTACAGAAACAGTTCGTGAAGGACGGTCCATGCCGAGATGCGTCAGACACACGCGCGAGCGTGCCGATTAGAGAGAGATGAGATGCGCAAGAGTCTGTATGGAAACACGACGGATGCATTGTCCACGGTGCTCGACCGGGCGAGTAAGGAGCGGAGGGTTGCGCGCGACACGCGCGCGCTGGGAGCAGAGCCAGAGTCAATGGGCGTACTGTACGAGAGTCGAGAGTCTGGAGAGGTCCGTTATCCGGCCCAAGAGACAAAACGAAACGAGACGAGATGGGGGTGCGCGAGGGGCGCGGCGAGCGAAAGCAACACGAAAGCAACGAGGACCGAGACGCGATCACAACAGCAGCGCGGCGAGCACGCTCACGAGTGTGACGACGGCCGAGCCCGCGATCACGCGGGGCGCGGCCGCGTTCGTGTCCTGCTGCTGCGTTGTTGTTGCGGAAGGCGACGCGCTCGTGCTCGAGCCAGTGGCAGACGTGTTCCCGCTCGCCTGGTTCGCAGATGGCCAGCCGACGCCGTTGTACGTCGCGCGGATGATCTTCGATGCCTGTTCGGCGAGGCCGTAGACGGGCGCCTGCAGATGCGCGGAGAACTGAATGGGGAATACGGACGCGTCGGCGATCCGGACGTTCGCGAGGCCGTACACCTTGAGGTCGGCGTCGACGACGCCGCCCTGCGCCTGCGGGAGCATCGCGCACGAGCACGAGGGGTGGTACTCGGTGCCGATCGCGTTCGCAAGCCACTTGTCCCAGTCGTCGTCGGACTGGACCGAGCTACCCGGAGTAACCTCATCGCCGACGGACGAGCTCAAGGGGGCGGTGTTACCGATCTTGCGCGCCAGCTTGAGGCCCTCGCGGAGGAGGACGGTGTCGGCGTTGTGCGAAAGGTACTGCGGGTCAATGACGGGCGGGGTGAAGGGGTCGTCGGAGGCGATGTAGATGCGTCCCTGCGAGAACGGGTGCTGGAGCGCGGCCTGGATGCCGACGGTGTTCGAGCCGTCGACCGGGGCGCCGGTGAGCGAGAGCAGGATCTCGATCTGGCCGGTTGGGCTGTTCAGGAACGTGTTCAACGTCGCGTTGTAGATCGCCTCGTAGCCCTGCTTGACCGCATCGGAAGAGCTCGGGACGAGGGTCGAGACGGACGACGCGAGCGCGTCGGCGACCTGCTGGCGGAACTGGGGCGCGAAGTCGAACCCGAGCAGGTCGGTGACGTTCACGTACGCAGTGGCCGAGTTGATGAACGAGAGGAACGCGGGTGAGTTACCGTTGCCAGCCGCAAGGTTCTGCGTGTGGAGCGAGTTCGCCGTCTGCGCCGTCGTCTTCCAAGTGACCTGCGTCGAGATATGGTCCTGGACGTGCTGGCCGACTCCCGGAAGGTCGAGCGTGACGTCGACGCCGGCCGCCTTGAGGACATCAGAGGGGCCAACGCCGCTGTGCATAAGTACGTGCGGGCTGCCGATTGCACCGCCCGCGAGGATCACCTCCTTGTTGACCTTGATGGTCTGGCGAGCGGCGGTGGCGCTCGTAGCCCACTCAACGCCGGTCGCGGTGATGTTGGACTTGTTCGAGGTGTCGAAGATGATGCGGGTGACGGTCGCGTTGGGAAGGACCGCGAGGTTCGAGCGCGGAGGGAGGGGGTCGATGTATGCGGACCGCGAGTACGAACGCGTCCAGTTGGACGGGTTGATGGACGAGGTGGCAATGAAGCCACCCCAGTTCTCACCGCCGTACGCGTCGTTGGGAACGGCGACGCCGATGTCGGCGAGCGTGGTTGTCCAGTTCCCGACGAGGGGCACCATGCTACGGCCGAAAATTAGCGGGGATCGCGCCTTTAAATATACCAGTGCTTACTATCCGGGGTAGGAGGAGTGGACGGGGCCGGATGTTCCACGGCTAGCGGCTTCGTACTTGATGCCGCCCTCTGCCTGGATATCGGACGACGGCGGGGTAAAGGTCTCGCTCTCCTTCATGGTCGTGAAGAGCGAGTCCCAGCTCCATTTGTCGCCGCCGTCACCGATGAGGCTGGCCCAGGTGTCGACCTCGAGCTTGGAGGGGCGGACGGTGTACATGCCGTTCATGGCGGAGGAGCCGCCGAGGACCTTGCCGCGGGGCCAAGGGAGGACGCGGTTGTTCGCGTTAGGCTGGTTGGCGGTGGTGTATTGCCAGTCGTAGGAGGTGCCGGGAAGGCCGGAGTAGTATGCGTTCACGGGGACATCTGGCGGGGAGGTTAGCGGTCATAATTCTACGGCGGGGAGGCAGGCGATGCCTGGTCCTGCCGCGCGTGCATGGGACTGTTTCTGCGCGCATACAACGCGGTTTTTGAGCGGGGGCGCGGCAGCGAATGAGCACACGGTGACCGTGCTCGCGCGACGTTGGGCGCGTCCTGCGGGCGTTCTTGTCGGAGCGCGCACACCGCCACTTCGCTCATTGCACACGCGGGCTAAAAAGAGCGACGAGGGCACGCGCCGCCCCACCTGACGAAAGAAAGCGGGTGGAACTCACTGATAGAGTCTGCAACAGCGTCTCCGGTGTCTCCAGCCTCGAGAACGAGAACAGTAGTGTTGGAGTCCTCGGAGAGACGGGAGGCGATGGCGAGGCCTGCGGTACCACCACCGACGACAACGAAGTCGTAGGCGTCGGCGATCTGGCCGTTGTAGACGATGTTTCGCCTACGAAGGTCCTGGCCGTGGTTGTCGTGGTAGATGTCGCGATGGCCGGTGTTGAAGGCTGCAGCGAGCGATGCGGAGGCAACGAGGAGGGCCAGGGAGCGCATCGGGGTAGAGATGGGGAGGAAGGGGGGGAGAGGCGGAAGAGGGGGGAGGTAAAGACTGACGAGTGTTGGTCGTTAGCGGAGAAATATGTAGGAGACTGCGAGGAGCTTGAGCTTACCCGCGGAGGTTATATCACAGTCCGCAAACACACTCCATCACTTTTCAGCCGCGGAGGATTCGCTCGGAACGCTCTGGCGCTTCCGCGCGAGCCGGACTGGACAAGCCGAGAGCCAAGCCGCCCGTCAACCAGACAAGCCCAGGCACTTCGACTCGGTCACACCGTGTCACAACCCACGCGCACCTCCGCCTGGGCCACCGCCTCTTCCTGCCTCACCTCGACCTCCTCGCACGCTCTACAGCTCAGCACAACGCCAGACATTCGTGTCGAAGGGGAGGGCAAGCGGAAGACGGAGAGAGGGTGGCGGTGCGCCGATCGAGTGTACATTGCAGCACGCGAGCGCCACATTGCTCTCGGACTGACCTCCTCCCTCCGCCCGGCCTCGCATGCCCATCCTGATCCTTCCGTCTCTCGGCCACAAGACCTCCTCCTCGCCCCGCACAGCCTTGTCCTCGCCGGGGCGTCTCTCTCAAATTCACTTTGTCTGCTCACCTCTGGCAACCATCACCGCCCCGGCCTCGTCTCGGCCCTCGCCCCTGTCCAACAACGCTTTAGTCTTTACCCCGCCCTCTCAAGCCCACATCCGTCGCTACACGTCGTTTGTGCCTCTTTCAGGCGTCGCATACGACCCCGGCCGCTCCAGCGCTCTGCCCAGAGGCTCCGTACTCCTCGCAGAGCCCGTGCGGTCTCCGGCGACCTTGTTCTTGATCCCGCCCGCGGCCGGTCAAGACGTCACATAGCCTCTGTCTGATGGATGGGCGTCGCGATGATATCTCACCCAGGTGCGCTCTTTCTCGCTGTATGGCGTTGGTGGTAGTTTGACAACCTGTAACTCTACCTTACTCGCTTCACGTTCATCTTGGACGGGAGCCACTCTTCGGGAAGCTTTCGCGATTTAGTATGCGATACACGTGGCTCGCGCCTTCTTTCTACTCAACGCCCGCTTTGAATATACGTCAGATTACCTCTCTCGAGCCTGCGAGTGCCCCTTACCCCATATTCCCGCCATTCAAACCAAGCCCGGTGGTAGCGCACACCCATTGCTCCGCCTGCTCGTGTCGCATCGCCCAACCACTCAATGCACCATTTCAACCACAGAAGCCGGCCGCCATCTTCACTCACGTCCATTTCATCCGTGCGAAACCCACTCGTAGCCGTACGTCTTTGACACTATCGCGCGCCCGCCCCGCCTTCCTTTCCCACTCGTCGTCACGCACCACGCCAATAGCACAACGATATCTCCTTGAAAACGAAGCCGCAGATATCGCAACCCACATCTCCGCACCGCCTTGTCGTCCTTCCCCCGACAAAAACCAGCGAAGGTGAAATTCCTCTCCATATGCCGCCTCACGCGGCGTCGTTCTGCCGTCTCGCTGTACATTGCAGATTATTCATGCATCCGGCTTTACAGGCGAGGCGCTCTGGCTGTCTACAAGCCCGGCAATGCGCGCAGTCGACGCTCCGTCGGCGCGCCGTCTTACTCATACGCAAGCTTCTCGCCGGACTTCGTGGACGGCACCCCCGACGACGCACCACGGTGTCACGGTGCCGAAGTACTGCTGGTCGCACCTTGCGTCTCGTATCTGGTCGGCCTGCTTATATGCACCGGTGCACTGCTCGATACTCCGTCTTGTGCGTCTTTTAGGCTGTATGCTCCCCAGGCGGATGTCGTACGAGTTCTCTGCTTGGCCCGTGGACCTCCGAATTAGGCCTGCTCGACCGTGAGTCGGAGGTGTACACCAAACGGCGCGAACTCCTCGTCTCTCCGGCTCCTCGCTCATCCCGCCCACCGTGGCACGAACCTCGACCCCGTCAAGATTATCCTCCTGAGCCCTCGAGCCTACGGTTGTATTTTCTGGAGTATATGCGCGCCCCCTTACTGATATCTCACTTAGCAAGAGCTAACGGCGCACGGCCTCGTCGCACGGCATCGTAAACGTATCGCCCTCAACCACGCCCTGCTTCCCTCAACCCTCCGGCAACAAGCTGTGCGTTCCAACCTGTTCGCCGAGTTCATATCCACAAGAGGGTCGTGACCGCTGTTCGCCGCTGTCGAGGCGTGGACGACGGACATTAATTTGCAGCCACAGCCATACGGCACTGCCGCACGAAGACCTCCATCGATATCCCTGGCGGCTTTTGTGGGTGCGCTTCCCTTCGCTTTTAGGCCCCCTTTGCCCCGCGTATTAATAAGTCGGTCAGCAGGCATTCCGCGCGGTGTTGGCCTTGCATAGGGAAGCGTCAACATCATCGACTCCCGCCGCACCCGCATATATGCGCCAGCTTTTCAACCACGCGATATTCATTGTGTCAGCAAGCACATGCACGAACATCTGGCCGGACTTCACGACCGTGCAAACAACTCGCCGCACACGCGGGCGGTATATGAACATTAGCGGATGCGACGGTGGGATCTTCGCTGGAGCACCACGAACTAGGTGCGTGCTATGAACGAGGAAAGGACTTCGTATATATTATCGTTGTGGGGGTCGTTAGCCAAGAACGCCTATGTGCAATCAGTATCGGTATCGGTGTATGACATTGTTTGGCACCTCCAACACGACCAACGCGCTGTGAAAGCGAAGCAGCCTATCCCCGGGAAGCTTCAGCCTAACCGAAAACGCGGCGCCGTTTGGCTTTCGGCTGTCGAAGACTGCCGAGCCTACGAAGCACCCAATGGGCTCTTGATAGATTCCCGGAGGTTACATCGAGTGACAAGTAGGTGGGCTTTCGCTATTTGAGGTTTTGCGTCTTCGACAGGTGTGCCCCGTAGCGAACCTCGAGGAGGCAGAGAGGAACTTGCAAAAGTCGAGGCGGAGACTGCTAGATTCACGAAGCTCAAAGAAACATGACAATTAATATGCGCTTAAGGAGTAGGAGTATACCAAAAACTATGGATGTTTTGTTGCTGCTAGCATTTGCTCTATCGTGGGCCTTCAAAGGAGGTACGAAAACGATCGTCATGTTTCGCCATGTATACGAACATATGTTACGCTTGTTGGACGCGATCAGTTCAGCTGGCGCTACCCGTTTAGACAGACTTCGATAAGCCATAGGTTGACATATACCGCTACCGCACTCAGGCTGTTATGCGTCTGTGTCTTACGACAGCTAGTAGACGGTGGCACGAGTTCCGAATGGGACGGAGCGATCCTCGAGGCTGGTTACCCCGCACTACGTCATTCCATTCTAGGAAACCATCCCGTCCAGTTCATCCGTTCCATTCCAAACCCGGACGCCTTGGTTCGGTTTTGCAATGGGGACGACGAGAGAGGCGAACGTTCGTGGCAGATCGCGATGAGGAAGGGCACGGATCGAATGGGCGGACTTGGTTCGAGTGCGAGGATAAGCCGCCTTCCAAATCGGGCGGGTGAAGGCGGGTGGCCGATGACTCGCTCCCCGTCCCGTCCCTCTTCGTCCACGACCACCACCACACCGCGACATCCTCCAGCTCTACTTTGCCAATCACCAGGCCTTGCATTAGCTTGCACGGCCTGCCGCTCTTCGCCTTCGTCTGCTCCCCGTCTTTGTCCTCTATCGATACCGCTCTTGTTTAATGCCCCCACGCACCAAACGCACTCATGCTTCCTCCCGCCGTCAACAGCGTTCCGCTCAATTCGAACCCACTCAGCCCCAGCCCGCTGATCTACTGTCTTTCGACGAGGACGTCAATACCCAGTCGCCGTCGGTCTTTGAGCTAGAGGCTCCGCCCTCCGATCCCGAGCTCGGCCGCCAGTCCACCGTCATTCGCAATGATAGAAACACGGAGAATCTCCTCGCGGAGCCCATCGACTACGCACAGGAGATGTACGGGCCAGCAATGAGCGGATCCGACATCGATGACGGCCCTATATCCATTTCCACCTCGCCACCAGATCCCTCGCCCCTGCGGAGGTACTCAATCGCCCACGACGCGGTACCCTCGCCCTCGTCGGCGCGCTCGACCCTCAGCAAGCTCGCGATTGCGGAGGACACGACGTCGGATGACTCGTCTCTCAGTCGGAGTATCGGGCACACTAGATCGCCCGTCCTTGCTCGGTACGTGCTATTCACTCTTATCTCGCTCCTTGTCTCCATCATTCTACCGTGCCTTCCCCACAATCCGTCCTCCATGTGGTACCCGTGTATGCTCGTGCTCCCTGGACTTCTCGAACCTGGCAACCATTCGCTGCAGAGAGGCCCCTCGTCGTCCCTATCTAGTCGGCTCGGACTATGTGTGCGCGGGGCCTCTCTGTGGCGACTAGTGGCTTTTGGACTGGGTAGGGGATGTGACTGCAGCATTGAGCGACACGCTTCTGGTGCTCGTATCTCTGTCTGCTTGCTGAGGCAGTCGAGTGCTCCCGCTCACGCATGCACGTCATCCTCCCTACCCATGATACCCCAACGTCTTGCTTCCGGGTTCAACTTCTATGCTGTACTCGGTGCGGCGTGTGCCATGTGTCATGCCGAACCACTGTTGGCCGATCTAGGTGTGATCCTACCGCCCACAGACGTCGACCGAATAGGTAGGTCACTGCCTCTGGACGGTCATTACTATGATCGTTCCCTGCAGGCATATAGTTCAAGGGTCGTAAGTAGATGAGATCCATATGTTTCAGGCGTGTTCGCTGCGCCTAGCGGGACTAGTCAAAGTGGCGCCGCCGGCGCACTCGTCCCGCAGCGATGCCTCCACTCTCCGTCCAGTCTTTGCTCCTCGTCTATCTCCAGCCCCGCTCATCAGACTCCGACAGCCCGCGCTCACAGCATCACGCCGACAGAGAGCCTACGACGCTCGAGAGTTTCTCACGCACCATCCGCAACTACGTCCCCTCTTCAATCCCGATCCCCACCGCTGCGCCCTCGCCCCCACGGGTTTCCCGCCCGGTGTCATTCGGCAGCTTCCTTACGCCAGCGACCGCCCCAACTGCAAGGGACCGCTCGACATCAGGCGAATCCTACGACAACACATGGAGGCGGCGCGGAAGCGAGGCGTCCTCCGCTGCGGAGCCAGCAGGGCGCTCACCCTGGCAACAACGTGGTGGAGACCGGGACATGCCCGTATTTAGCCTGGACGACGACATCCCGGAGGACACCTTGCGCGAGGAAGACCGTCGGGCAACACGTTATCCCGGTGTTGGGGACACAGAGGAGGTTCTGTGGGCGGGGTGGGACGCCCTCGCTGACAACGAGCGCTCGAAGCCAAGGTACGTTTCGCGCCGACGATAGCACGAGTTCGCAGAATGTCAAGCGCTCATCTGACGCACGTTCCAGGTCGATCCTCATGCTTGGATACCCCACGGGACTGCAACTCTGGGACTGCTCCAATCTGAGCTCGGTGGCGGAGCTCCTGAATCTAACTGGCTCGCAATGGGGCGCGGTCGAGTTCGCGGGCATTATACCCGACCCACCCCTCGCCGCCACGGACGAATTGCCGCAGAAGAGGCCGCTCGTTGCATTTTCGTACGTTTCTCGCTCTCCACCGGGCGCATTTCGTACTCACCTCCTGCAGATCTCGGACTGTACATGGCACGGACTTTCTTGTATATTCACTACGCTCGCACGAAGTTGTCAAGAGATTACCCCTAATCGGTTTCACGTCGTTTGCTGCATCTTCGCAATTTATTATTCTCGTGAGTCCTCGTCATATCTTCATCGGTGCTCGAGCACTAACGCGTATGCGAATAGAGTACATCAAACCCACCCACGATCCACGTTATTTCTGCATGTACACTTGCGACCCTGTACACTATCCCTTCTGCATCTCTCATCCCCTTCGCATACCCCGCTCCGTCATCGCCAACAACAGCAAAGCCCAATGATGTACTTTCTTCTCTAGACATAGACACGCCTCACGCACTCACACGCCCCATATACGCACTCTCTAATCGTCTCCTGGCATATGTGGCGCCGCTATCCAGATCTCCCAGCGTCCCACCGGCGCCCTCTGCTACCCGCGGCCAAGCCCACACGAGCACGCCCGTACCCCCGCCGGAGAACCAAGTCAAGCTGGGCCTCAACATGACCCAGGCGGAGCTCGGAAACGCCGCAGCCAAGCTCGGGGGCAGCGTCCTCAGCGGAATGCGTACACTAGGCGGCATGGCCATCTCCGCCGCGCGTGCAGGCGTCGCCGCCGCCGTCGCGGAACAATCTACAGCAACGGGGTCCGGGACCGGGTTCGGCAGCATGTTCTTCTCGAAGAGCGCGCCCGCCGCGACAGGTTCCCCTCACGAGTACCAGACCGCACAAGACCGCCGCCGTCGCAGCCTGCGCGTATCCCCGCCCGCCGACCGCATCTTCGACCCTCAAACCGGAGCCCCCGCTGGATCGATGCTCCCGCCACCAATGTCTCCCGTGCAGCCCCCGGCGGGCTGCAACGTCATGGTGGTCGATCTGCAGTCGCTCCTAGGATCATCGTCCGCGGACCCAGAGGTCGTGGCGCGGTTCACGTTTGCGAAGCTGCACGCGCTGAGCGCCCTCCGATTCTCCGCGGACGGCACGAGCCTCGCCATATGCGCGAAAGACGGGCACGCGGTGCGCGTCCTGCAGCTGCGCCCTGCGCCCCGCGTCCTACGCAGGCTTCCCAGCAGCACTCTCGCGGACCTGCAGTCTCGGGCGGGTTCCAAGGATAACGCGAGTGTGGTGGAGCCGGCCGCACACCTGGACGAGTCTGCGCAGCTCATGTATACGCTGCGGCGGGGGCGGACTGCGGCCGTCGTGGAGGGCATGGAGTGGGCGCATGACAAGACGTGGTTCGGGATGAGCACACGTAAGCGGACTATCCATGTCTTCGCGGTGAACCCGCTCGGCGGCAAGCCGGACGGGAGCAGCCATCTCGCGGGGAAGGTTTTGAACGCACCGGACCTGGTATGTTGCTTTTACGGAGTCTGTCAACGTGCGCTAACAGTGGCCTTTCGCTGTATCCTAGGTCTCGTCAAGCACTGATCTGGCGCCACTCGTACGCGTACGACTCCGCGCTGTTCCAGGCGACGCACCCAGCGCCCCATGTGCATTCACGTTCGTGCGTCCCGGCGAGACCGCGCTGCCCCCATCGCTCCTCCCGCCCGCAGCCGTGCACTTCTCCGCGTCCTCTTCGCCGTCGAGCGTACAGTCCGGCTCTCCAGCCACGAAGCCCGTGTCCCCCGCACAGCGCCAGGCGCGCCCGACGAACTACCGGGACCTGCTCGTGTTCGACCCTGCGGATGGAACGCTCACACTCCGGCGCATCATGGTCGAGCGCCCCTCGGCAGACCAGACGGTTGTTCCGGGCTCGATCCCCGTCGCTGGTGGAATGAGCATTTCCCTGCCCGGTGTGAGTACGCTAAGTCGGAGCATGGGCGCATCACCACCGCGCATGCCATCTGGACTGACGAGGATGATGGAGCGCTCTACGGATGTGGTGGGCCGGGAAAGCGTAGTAGGCACCTGGAGCCTCGTGCGGGGCAGGGAATGGTCAGAGGTACGAACAACCGTGAAACCGGCCCGAGCAGGCGGAGAGCGGGCAGGGCGGGTCGCGCGGTCAGAGTACGTCGCCTCCTTCACCGGTGTGCACCTGCCCGGTCGTGCTGACATCCACAGCAGCTGGCTCGCACGCGCGGAACTCTCGACGTTCTCGACCTCGCCGCGGCTTCTGCCCCGACTGGTTTACCTCTCGCACCAGTTCGCGTTCCATATCCTGGGCGAGGACTACCACGCGCTCGTCCGGAGCGGCCGCCTCGACGTACCCTCGTCCAAGATCGAGGTGCGCCGCCCGGTCGAAGTGAGCGCGTATGCGACGGGCGCACAGGGCAGCGATGACTTTGTGCACGGGATCGGTTCGCCGCACGATCTCAGCAGCAGCAGCGTCGGTGCAGTATCATCCTCCTTCGACGCCCCGCTCGCGTCCGCCCTCGCCGCACCCCTGCACCCTCTACACCCGTCCCCGCCCGTGCTCCCGATGCTCCCGAACGGCACGCCTGGGTCGGCGTCGAAGGCGTTCATGACCGCGATCCCAATCCGGCACGTCGCCGCGGGCATCCAGGACGGCATGTCTGAGGGCCTGGGACGCCTTCGCCGCGAGCTCGGCAAGGCGCGTTCGCCGCGCCCTACTTCTGGCTCGGTGTCCGCCTCAATGCCGAGCGTGGGCTCCGTCCCAACCGTCCCCCTCGAGTTCGACGAGGAGGACGAATTAGAGGATTTCGCGCGTCACGCAGCAGATGGGGACTTCGACGCAGACGTCATCTCGCGCTCGACGTCCATGTCCACGGGTGGCGCAGTGATGGAGGCGGAGGAGACGCTGGCGACCCCCGAGACGAACATCGAGCCGCTCCCGGTCGAGCACGACGGGGAGCAGGCGTGGCAGGGGTGGGGCCCCGAGGACCAGGCGGCGGTCGAGGACGCGGAGCGGTTCGACGACATCACGGTCGGCTTCCTGGACGAGGAGCAGGAGACGATGCGCGCGGCGGAGGCGGAGGGCAAGAGTGCGCGGATGAAGAAGCGGCGTCCGCGGAGGCACTGAGCGGCCACTAGTGGTCGCGCGCTGCTCCGTGCGCCGCTGCTCTGCGGGTGGTGGTCGGCTGACGCGCTGGTAGAGGCAGGGTCGCTTCCTTCCTCGCAGCCCCTTCGGACCTGGTCTAAGAGTCGCGTCGCGTCAATTTGTACGATTATAGTAGCCAGTCGAAGAAGTAACATTGAATGTAACGTTGTCATACCTAGGCACGCCCGTGCGTCGTCAAGGATCGAAGCTGAGGCTGTGAGCACGCTCTTCCCATGGTCACCCGGGGACCAGTCCTGTACCGGAGGTGAGCATGTTATTCGCCATGCATGCAGGAGTGCGTTTCGCTGAGTTGAATGTCCCGAAGGCACGACGCACCGTATGGTGCTTCTGCCTATTCCCCGCGGAAGGTCCGAGACAAGAAGATATAGAACCGCCGCCCCGCGCTAGTGAATGGGCCCATGGACTCTTGCAAGGTCCCCGAGCCGCCGCCGCCAGTCAGGCGGTCGCGTCTGAATGCTTGCTCTCGGTCGATGCGGAAGCGTGTCCTCTATTCTTGCCTTGCACGCCCACACGAGCGACGCAGGCTCGCTGCGCGCGCGCGTCTGCCATGTCGCCTCATTGATCCGGACGACAGGTCGAGCAAGGTATCTTCCTGCATTTCTGCGACGTTTCTCCCATGCTGTCCGCTCGAGATAGGCTCCTGCGATGACGAACGTAGCGCGGAGGGGTGCGTGACCGCGAGCGACGCGCCCGGAGGGCAATAAAGGGACGCGAAGACGGGCACGAATGCCCGTTCCTCCCTTCGTCGGACGGGCCTAAGCTTCAATCTCAACTCGAGGACGTGCAGACATGCTTACCGCGAAGACGATCGTCGGCTATGTGCTGCCTGCCTTGGCCATGATACAGGTCTGCTTGGGTGCGGAGGCGATCCCGCACGCTCCGGACTGGGTGCGTGGTCTTAGCTCGCGAGACTTGAAGAGGCGTTGAACAAAGACACAGCCATTTGATCTAACGACGCTGACTGCGCCCGACGGATCGGTCACCGCGAAGTTCGTGTCGTTCGGCGCAACGATGACCGAGCTGTGGGTGAAGGACCGGGACGGAAAGGCACGCGACATCATCCTTGGGTACGACGACAACGTGAGCAGCGGTTAGCTCAGTCGTTCCACAGTCAGAATAACTTGTATATCTTGCACAGACGGAGCTGTTGACCGACCCCGCACACCCGGTCTTCAACCCAATCGTAGGCCGGTGAGTTAGCTGAAGCCGAGAGATGATACATTTTTACTGACCCGTCTATAGCTACGCCAACCGGATCAAGAACGGTAGGTCAAGCGTGCTGCTGCCCTGATTAGGTTACAAACAATCCGTTCACAGGCACGTTCTCCATACCCATCACGAAGTTTCCTCAGCCAGACGGCCCGAACGTCTTCCACATTCCCACCAATGACCACGATGGTACGTCTCCACCATCGACACGTGGACTGCAACTGAGGGTCCTGATAACGCACGTAGGCCAGGACACGCTACACGGCGGCATTTTCGGCTGGGACCGGCGCAACTGGACGATTGTCGAAAAGACGAAGACGAGTGTCACGTACCTCCACATCGACGAGGCAGACGAAGGCTTCCCCGGAACCGTAACAGCTCTTGTGAGTAGCGCCTTTCTGTACTTCTCCTTGGGTCCTCGACTCTGAGTGTCTTGGTAGGCCACACATTCCGTGGAGAATGGCGGAATCCTACGGACCACTGTTCACGCAACCGCGACAGAGAAGACACCAATCATGTTGACGCAACACGTATACTGGTGAGCCTATCCGTTTTGTGTGCGCTCGCCATGCTGAACTTGCGTATAGGAACCTGGACGCATTCCAGGGCAGCGAGGATATTCTTGGACACAAGCTGCACGTCGATGCATCTCGCGTAGTCGCCGTCGATGGTGATGCTGTCCCGACGGGGCCTTTCATCGACGTCGAGGGTACCGCGTTTGATTTCCGCACCACGCAGGCCATTGGCGAGCGCTGGAACGATACCTTCGACTTGTGCGGATCAGGTACTTCGACCCCGTGTGCTGTCTTTGAGCCGCACTGACTGCAAACGCTTCAAGGCTGCCAAGGATACGATAACTGCTGGATCTACGACCACTCCGAAGAGGTGAAGCCCGGCCTCACGCTCTGGAGCGACGTGTCCGGAATCAGGTGAGCGCTCGCGACCGTCCTACGCACCCTCCCAAATTTGCATCTCACACATCCGCCAGACTGGACGTGACCACGAACAACCCGGCCGTACAAGTGTACACCGCGTTCTGGCTCGACACGCCGCGCAAGAAGGTGCACGGCGGCCCGTCCCTGAACTACACGAAGTGGACCGCGGTCGCGATTGAGCACGAGGGGTACATCGACGCGATCAACACGCCGGAATGGCATGTCGACCAGATCTGTATGTTGCGTTGTTTATGTGATGTCCCGGCATTGGGCTCATGGTACGGACGCAGACTATCCCGGGAAGGACTTCAACTGGGAAACGACGTACAAGTTCTCGACGGTGCACTGAGATGCACAACCTGTCGTCTGTCGCGGTGTCGCATACTGCACTTCGCTGTGGTTGTTGTATTCTGGCCTGACTTGCTCGCGCGCGAGGGGGTAAGACAATGTATTTCTTGGATGTTATACGGAGCAGTGTGTACCCTGTACCCTCTTACATCACTAAGCACTTGTACGAACGCCGCCGCACCTTCTTCGCGTCGCTCGCTGCAGCCGCCCCGCCCTTCCCCTGAACAAGCAGCTCAAACCGCCTATCAACCTCCTCCCACTGGTCCTCAACCTTCTCCTTCCATTGCCATTGCCAGATCTCCTGTATCGCCTCCGCGAGCTCCCCAAGCTGCCTCGTCTCCTCCTTCATCACATCCTCCCCGCCCTCTCCCTCACTTTCGGAGAGCGGCGCGCCGTTGTAAAGCCCGGGCCAATTAAACTCGTACATGAGCCCCACCTTGCGCGCGTCGTTGACGACGGTGCGCGCGAACGGGAGCCGCACGTCTTCGTAGATCTGGAACGCACGGGACACGAGCGGGAGGGTCGTGCGCGGGTCGGCGAGGAGGCGGCCGAGGATGAACGCGTCCTACAGAGGGGACCAGTTCAGTGTGACAACATCCCTGGACATGGGGAGGTAGTGTAATAGGGGAAAGTGACGCTCACCTCGATCGCCTGTCCGCCTCCAGCTCCAAAGTGAGTGGTCATGGCGTGCACGGCGTCGCCCATGAGTGCAACGCACCCATCGACGGCGAAGGGCAGATTCTCGATAACATGGATTGCCCAAAGTGTCGGCTTCTCCACGAGCTAGATACAACATGAGTCATGTGTCTGCGCGGAACGCGCTAATCCAGTGGGCGGGCGCACCTTAAGCATCTGATCAACTTCGGGCTCCCAGCCGCTGAAATGCGCGGTGACCTCCTCTTGCGTCGAGTCGATGACCCATTTCTTGGGGTATGTCGTGCCCTCACCTCCCGGGATCGTAACAAAGCCGATCCAGTTGAGGTACTTTCCGTGTGAGATGGGATACGTGATGACGTGCTGAATGTGAGAGGTGTAAGCATGAGCCGCGCGGAAGCGGCCGTCGCCGTTCTATCTATACGCACTTTCTCCTTCCCTGAGTACTGTAAGGCAATTCATAATAAGCACTGTACCGTATACGGCCAGCGAAGGCGTGTACTCACGCTCATGGGCGACGTGACCTTCAACGCATGATGCTCAGGGTTCACCTCGCGCATGCGCTCCGATGGAATCAAGAACCGATACCCAACCGTCCCCGTCCACTTCGGCGTCGCCCTCCCGCACCTCCCGCACTCCTCGCGCTTCACATCCCCCGCACAATCGCGCGCATGCGCAGAGTCATACATCGCCGCGCGCACCTTGGACTTGATACCGTCCCCGCCGACGACGACGTCCGCCTCGGCCGTCGAGCCGTCCGCGAAGTGGAGCGTGTAGACGAGCGTGCCGCCCGCGTCGGCGGCGGCGGAGGTGTAGCTGAGGAGGCGCTTGGAGGTGTGGATCGTGCAGGAGGACGGGATGTGCTTGACGAGCACGTCGACCATGTCGGCGCGGTGCATCGTGGTCGAGCCGTCTGTGTCGTGTGAAAGCGAGCGGGGCTTAGCGGCGGGTTACGGGCGATGGGACGGGTGCGACGTACTGGGGACCACCGCCCTGCCGAACTCGTACCCCTCGTGCGGCTGATTTGATTTCCGGAATACGAATGCAGTCTCTGGGCGAAGTCGGAGCCGTCCTCATCAGCTCGAGCAAGCAGAGGGCCCGCGCATACACTCACTGAACTCGTCCTTGCCACCCTGGCCGCCACCCGCCGCCTGCACCGAGGCGCGAGAGAGGTCGTCGTACAGCCCGAGTGCGCGCATGACAGCCCACGTCCGCGGCCATACCGATATGCCTGCGCCGACGGTGGTGATCTCGGGGCCGGACTCGTACAAGTGCACTTCGGGCGGAGCGGTGTTGCCCTGATTCTTCGCGAAATGGCCAAGTGCGACGGCAAGTGTGAGGCCTGCGATCCCGCCACCGCTGTGGAAGTGTCAGCGCATATAGCGACCTAGAAGTACGGAGACGGGAGGGACTTACATGATTGCGACCCGGAAACGCGGTGTGGGTTGGGATGATGGCTCTCCAGGCATGAGCGCAGTCTAGGATAGGAAGTGACGGAGAGTATCTCAGGGGTTCGCCGAGAAGGCTGGAGAGGTGCCCGTGTGCAGGAAAGGCGGCGGTTATTATACGCCCTCCTCGCGAAGCTATATGCTATTTCCTCCCACACGGTCGGCTCCACCGTCCCTTGACGCAAGCCGTGTGTGACAATGGATTAGCGTACGTTTCAGACTTGCGCGCGGGAGTGGGATTGAAGTCGAGGGTACGCACACGGGGGTTTGGGATGTTGACTCGGCACGGGCCGCGATGCGTCATTGAACGGCGTTAGCTGCATACGAGTCGGCCTTCTCATGCTATTTCCTACGTCGGGTACCTCAGGAAGGACATACAGAGGAGAGTTGCGCTTGCTGATCATATGAGGATGGGAGAGAGTCGGGTTATTTGAAGGGAAACGTCTCCCGCGCGAATCATGAGAAGGCGAGGGAGCGATTAGCATGTGGGAACGTCGCGGGAAGGCATCGGCGTTGGTCTGCACTGGGTCGCGTGTTGTCTTGTGGGTGTATGCGCTGGAAAATACACTGTCGCGAGCAATGTAGTCCTAGTTCTTCATAAAGGACTATCGAGCCTCGAAAATATGCGACATGACGCCTGGATCCGGAGGTCTTGCGTGCAACGACTGGTCCAGTACTCATGTCCGTATCATAACATCGTATCGAGAAATCGTGCATATTCCCATAGTTGATGTCGTCACAAGTCATTGACGAGCTGCAAACCAAGGTATGTGAGAAGGCTTGTCAAGTGGACATGCCGGTGACGACAGTAGCGAAGACGTACGAGGACAGGACGGCATGCCGCTAACGTATGCTTCGTAAATCATAAAATTGGATCTCGAAAGATGTGGAGAGACCTCGCCCTTGCAGTCGGGAACCCGCAGATAGTAGAACATGTGCTGCATTGTATACCGTACTTCATGTGCGGTCTGGTGCTTGCACATCTCACCCGTCGGGGGGTCATACATCGCCCCAGGCTAAGTCCAACGGAATAGTGGACATCTCGCTCGCAGTACTTGCACCTCTGTACGGTCTCATAATGCAAGTGTTGCTCACTTTGAGCAATTTAAGGCGGTAGGCATTTGGTCAGCGCGCGCGAGTGGTCGAGGATAGAGGCCGAGAGGTTCTCCGATGGGTCACTGCCATGACGGTAGGTAGCTCGCGTGGGTACGAACCATGTGCTAGCTGTAAGCCCAGTGTGGCCTCAGACTGCAGTTGTCGTAGACAAGGTCCAGGATTTGGGAGACAAGACGTGCAAAGCGGTGGTGGTGGTCGACGAAAGAGAGGACGTCCCGGTCCGCTCATGTGGCAATCAAGGGAACTGCCGGCCGTCCCGGCCGATATCCGATTCGCCTCGAACTCTCACTGTCTATGTTGCAACACGCAATCCCACTAAAAGAGGGTCATACGCACCTGGCTTCACTCATGACATGCATGATCCTTCCACCAATGCGATGCGAACGATTCTGAGACTTTGAGAAGTCATAGCCGTGTGTCCGGTTTTACCCTCGGTACACTGAGTACTCGCCATGTATCGTAATTCAGGAGTCAGAGACACCCACATCGATCTTGATAAGATACATGTGCAGATGATCAACATGCAGGACGAGCACTCCATCCTATAGTCCCCATGCATGCTATATTTACGGTGAATATTCCTCTTGCAAGATGGTCCAAATTGCCTCGGCCGCGCCGCGCGGGTCTTGCTGAACGACGTGATGGCCAACACCCTCGACCTGCCTGACGGACTTCATCTTCGGCCCCGTCAACTCGTGCACTTCTCCGGGTCTAAACAGTCAGAAGTATCTGCTGTTAACACTCAACACGTAGCAGTGCACATCCGCACTCACATTCTGTCTCGGACAGAGCCGACGACCGAGTGCACGGGGATCGCAGCGCAGAGGCCCTGCAAAATTTGGTGTGCTTCGAGCGCATCGTCCCAATGAGAATACGCCGCGATCTCAGCCGCGCGCGTCGTCGCCGGCGTCACCCCCTCGTGCTCGTCCGGGTACGCCGCAGTAGGCAACTCCCGCAAGGCGTGTTCCTGCCCATGCCAACATTCTGTACCTCAGCGCACGCATTCGCACTGAGCAGGGCACGTACCACATAAAGATCGAGGACACGCGCGTCCCACTGGCTCCACGGGAGCTGTCCCGCAAACCACTCGCGCGCGGCCGCGCGACTCGGCCAGGTGTCCCGGCGCGTGCGCGCGAACTCGATGATCTTCGTAAGGGGGGAGTCCGCCTGCGAGATCTGCTCGAGGACCTCTGGATCGAGCACGACTGGCTCGACGAGGATGAGCGAAGAGTAGGGGAGTTTGTCGACGTAGTACCCGGCTGTCGACTGAATCCTAGGTAAGATGTGTGTTAGTCGGAGCAGAAGGGGAAATCGAGGTACGGAATGGCGTACATCACGCATGCGCCGGCGGAGTAGCCGATCCCGATGACGTCGTCGCCTTTGAGCATGTCGGACTTGAGGAGGACCTGCAACGCGCGGGAAGCCTGCTGTCCCGCTTGATTAATATGGTGAGCAAAGTGCCTATGGTGACGATAGGGTGTGCAACTTACAGATACCATCTGGGAACTGACCCAGAAGATGCTCGTTCAACACCGCCGCGCGGCCGTTACTGGGCATGTCTGCCGCCCACGCCTCAACGATAGTCAACGCACGATTGGAGTCTTCTTTTTGTAGCTCAAAAAGGTGCTCGAGGGTAGGGAACCAGACCTCTTTGTCTACAGGCGCATAAGTCCTTCCAGGGAGACGGGTATGCACATGGACGGGGCAAGCACGTACGCGATGCGGCACCGTGAAGTAGGACTAGGGACACGGTGCGACGACGTTGTGTACCTGTCTCTTCTCCTTCTGGGGTACGGGTCTGGCGCGGGACAGCGCGTACGAAAGGGAGGGAGAGACCGCCGTCAGTGGGCAGGCCGCGAAGGACGTGTTCGGTGGTGTCGAAGTTCATCTCGGCCGGGAGCAAAGTGTGCGACGCTCCTGTCGATTGGGAGGGCGCTATATACCTGCCAGACACCAAGCTTCTGCTTTCCATAACTCCGCGTGAGAGCTCACGTCGGCGCTGGCTTCGATCCATATCAGTCTTCTTCAGACCACTGCGCCGCTTCAGATACACGTCCTTTGCTATCGTAGGCGGGAGTCGAGATATGAAGGAGCATACGTCACTCCAGGAGGAACGTGGTGGTCGTCCTTGCTTCGTAGAGCTCACAATTCGAGGCAAGGAACTTCCGAAGGTGGTCATGTGTCGAGAAGATTCGCCCTAGCCGGGAGGTCCCGAGTGTGCTGCGTTTCGAAGGTCTGCCGACTGCAAGTGAGCGTCGGACAATGCTAATTAGAGTACCTTAACGAATGTAATGTTGTGAACGATTCAGCGCAGGCGGGTGTCTGCCATGCATGAAACTCACATATTCTTCGCGCCGGAGCACTCCATTCTGCGCTTGTACTTTTCGAGGGCCGACTACGACGTGCAAGAGGTAGAATCAGGTGAGCCTATAAGGGATTCGCGTTGTACCAGTGACCAAGTGAGTGTGCTGTCCTACTTCTGCAGCGGCCAACGTAGTGACGGTGTCCAGATGAGGGTGTTCGTGGGCGTACCACGTGGCGTTTGGCGCGCAAGTGTCGCCGTGAGCAGTGCACCCCGGTGAGTGCACCTCGAGTCTCACTTATTCAAGGTCAATGACGATTTCACTTATAAGTGGCTCTACCCTGGGCGTCGTCCTCAGGCTCGTGCGTCTGGTGCGCATTCAAAAGCCCAAATATGCAAACAACGAAAGACGATACACCTACAAATTGATACGTCTCTGGAAAACCAGCAATAAACCCGTATTGTTTGGGACGTCGTCTCGACTCTCTGGAACGGCTCGGATGACCTGCAAACAAGCAATGCTATGAGCCAAAATGTGGAGCAGATTCACAGACGACCTCTAGTACCACACTGAAACGCGGCAAACACACCTTCTGCTCCCGCCGACGTAGAATCTTAACAAGTCCGGCCGCCCAGCATCGAAGCGCGGCGGCTTCCCCGCGGCCGACGCCCTCTTCCGGCTTCTAGTCCAGACACGCGCCGACGACGTCGATGATCATCTCTTCCCCTTGCGTCGTACGACGCTCGCTCCGAAAAGCAAGGGCTGAGCATAACGTACGTCAGGCGTCTGCGTAGCTTGATTGAACTTACCGCGGAGTGTCAGCGGCCCACTTTGGACGGGACGCCCTTCTGAAGCGGCAGCGGTATGTTCGCCCGGCGAGGGTAAAGCAGTGACCGTATAAACAATATGTCGCGCTGCAACATGTGTGTATCAATGTTCGCTGGTGGGGAGTGTAGAAACGAGCTGCGGCGGCGTCTGTGGTGCCGCGGATAGCGGACACATACGTAGCTTTGACGGCCGGGTTGCGGCTGACGAGCTGCAACGTTTGCGAGAGTTCGTGGCCGGTGTACAGCCCAAAGCCTCTCCCTGAGATTGCATAAGATATATCGATGGTTTGGAGGAGCGCAGGGACCTGTAGCAACGAACTGAAGCTCAAACTTAGAGCTACTCCCCTGGTGATGTTCAGAGAGTGTGATCCCGGGCTGTTCGTATCGTAAGCGCGAACATCTGGTGAACTACACACGTACACAAAAATACAACGCCTCCAAATCGACTGCAGCTCGTACCAGGTGTGGCAAAGCACCATATTTAAGCGAGCCTGAAAGAACCGTCCGGATGCGGCAAGTCAGCGAAGCGAAAGTACAAGACACCCATCTGCACCCGCACCCGCAACCCCCGACCGGGCGCATTTCCACGATCCTCAAGGCCCACCGCCCGACCGCAGGAAGAGAAGACAACCCCGATACCGCAGATACAGATGCAGCAGCAGCAGCGTCCGGCCCCCAGAACACGCCGCAGCTCCCAGCTCCCGCATGGAACGCGTACTACAGAACACAGATCGATCGATGGATCATCATCTCGAGCACTAGCGGCCGCGTCTTCGCAGGCAGCACAGGCGGGCGTAGGACCATATGACCCCGCGCGCGACCGCTGGGCATTCCGCTTCCGAGGCAAGAGGGGGAGCGAGGCCGGGGCACCGCCCGCGTCCTCGAGGCGGGTAGCGTAAACACACGGACGCCCCGGGCGAGCCGGATACAAGGACGCGGGCGCGGCAGCGACAGGAGCCAGGATTGGGTGCGTGGACGTGCGGCATCCGTACGCGTGCGCACACACGCACACCGCCCCGAGCCGCCCACATAGCTACACGGAAAGCGCGACGAAGCCTCGAGGCGGGCACGGCGATAGCGCCGCGCGACGACCTCTCCGCGCCGCACTCGCTCCCTAGTAACCTGCACGCGAAAACTCGCAGTGCGCGGGGGCCCAGCAGCAGCAGAACGAGTACACAAGTCAATTTCCCAGCTCACAAGCGGCTCCGAGGCTCAAGATAGACATAGACACCGGCGTGGCCAGCGGGACGAGGGGAGCTTGCGAACGTGCCAGGCGGAGGGCCAAGTCCGCGGACACCGCAGGGCTGGGGTGACGCGGAGAGGTGCTGGGGCGCTGGGCGTGTCGGACGGGGGTTCATTGCAGACGCTGCGGGCCGCACCAATGCCGCGCTGGACGACGTAACTCTGCGCACGCCCGCAGGGGGTCGCAGCCGCGCGGCGGGAGGGAAGGTCGGAAGGCAGAACGGACGAGCGCGCGAAGCCTGGTGCAGCGCGTTTCGCATTTCGCCTCTCGCAGATCCAGCGGCTGCAGGCGTCGCACCCTGAAGTGGTGCAGACAGGCGTAGTACCGACATAGAGTACCAGAGAGTCCCAATGCGTGCAGTGTTGCATTAGGGCTGGAGGGGCGCGGTGCGGCGCGTGCGGGAGGCCGCGCGCGCGTGGGTGGGTGCGGAGCGGGGTCGCGTGATGCATTGGGTGCTTCGGGGCGGCCAACGCGTCCACCACGTTGGCGGGGGCCGGCCGCGCGGGCTAGAAGCCTTCGCCAGGGGCGCGTTGCGGCACCCATGACCGCTGCGGCAGTAGCGCGACGGGCAAGAGAAGGAACTCAGGGAGGCGTGCGTTTCTCAAGCAGGTAGAGGCTGCGCCCCGTTCGGGTGCGGGCGGCGGCGTGCCTTTGTCGTGGTTGCGCCGGTCTGCAGAGCGGGTGGGCGGCTGCCGCTGCACCGGAGATCCCGCGCGTCGATGGATGGTCGATAGATGAGCCCACGGCTGCGGGTGGCACTCGGAGAGGACAAGGCAAGGCCAGGGCGCGCGGACGTGAGCCGGAGGTGAGATCGTATCTGCGTGTGGCAGGGACCGGGGGTGGCCTTGGGCTTTGTGGGCGCACCGGACGGGAACCACGAGCGGACGGCGCGATGGGCAGCGCGCGTCCGAAGCAGCGATTCGACGCTGGCGCCGGGGCCCAGATGAGCACGGAGCGGCGGCGTGATGGTGGATGAGGGGTATGCCGGCAGCACAGCTGTCATCCTCCGCATCACCGGGCAGCGGGCAGCGGGTGCCTGCGGTCGAGTGACGAGCGGGGGAATCAATTCAGTTGTTACGTCGGACGGGTCGACGCGGGCGCGGGAGTGAGAGGTCAGTTAGATTGCGCAGACGCAGACGGACGCACGAGCACCGCCGGCAGCGCGCATTCCGTACAAAACGGAACGGCGGTGGGCGCGGCGAAGTGTGATCGTACATACAGTACACAGCGTCAACATTGTCAGAGACCCCGCATCAGAAGCCCTGGCGGCTCTGCTAAGTACTTACAGGATCCAGCGTCCGGCGCACAGCGAGCGACAAAGCAGAGCGGTCGGATTCGTCCGTCGAGTTCCCAGTATCCAGATGGGCTGCCACAGCCGCCGACAGCCACACAGGTCCTCGCAAACAAGCACACAGCGCGCCGACAGCGTCATGCCTCGAGGCCCGATAGCAAACCACCCAGTGCAGAACGTGCGTGTCCCCAGTAGTGTGCCCAAGCCTAACGGTGCCGCGGGCGGCCACAGAGTGGGGTGTTGGCTCCGCCGAGGGTGCGCACTCGAGGCACACAGAGACAAGGTGCGTCCGCCGCGTGTTGTGCGCCGTGCAAACTCTCCCAACGCACCCGGCGGGCCGCAGGCGCAAAGCTGGGCCAGACCCGCGTCCTCGCGCTCGGGGCCAATACTCGCGAAGCCCAGCCGCCGTGCCATGTACGGACGCGGAACGATGATGCGCACGCTGCGCGGCGGAGAAGCTCGACTCGAAGCCCCCCTGGCGGCGAGGGAGATCGGGGGGCGCAGGTGAGGGGGGCTTCGCAGGCCTGCGGGCGACGCGGCGTGGCCGCGCGTGACGCCGCTGCGCTGAATTGCGCGGGGGGCCAGGTGGGCAGACGTCGACGGCGAGGCACCGGCGCAGACCTCGGAGGCGAGCGTGCGTCCGAGGCGAGCGTGGGCAGGGGGGCGCCTGCGAAATTGCGAAGCTGAGATGCCGGGCTAGGCGAGCTACCCGCGATGGTGCGCCCACGCACCGCTCCCGTACGTATCAGCCGCTGCACTGCTCGCCCCGCCGCCTGCTCCCTCGCACGCTCGCCCGCTCCCTCGCCTCGCGCCGCGCGGGACCTGTCTCGGCTCGCGCGCGCAGCCGAGGTTCAGGCGGACGGGGCCCCGCCGGGTGGGCGCGCGGTCGGATTGGCGCTGGGAAGGGCGCGGGTGCAGAGCGAGGCACATGAATGATGGCCATTCCGAGCGACCCCGCCCGGACGAAGGGGTTGGAGGACAAGTGCGTCGTGGGCGCGCGGGCGCACGAGGGGGGCGCGGTGCGCGATCAGATGGATGGATTGTCGAAGCGGGGGCCGGGTGACACCAGAAGCAGCGTCGGCGGGGACAGGTGCAGCCAATGTCCGGTGGGCGAATGTGCGGGGCGCGAGCGAGAAGAGGCCCGAGCAGGGAGAAAGCGCGCACGCACGCCGCCGAGTGCGCACGGCGCGGGGGTCGAGCGGCCAGGATTGGCAGCGCCGCCTGCCGGGATGGGAATCAGGATTTGAGTTGGGATTGACCAAGTGTTCCTCGACGAGCGGGCGCGGCGAAGAAGCCACCCCGCAGAGCTCGCCGTCCCCACGTCACGCCAGGCACGCGCCCACCGTCGCTCGCAACTCGCCCGCTCGGGTGCGCGGGCGACGTCGTGCTGTCCGTCTGCCTTGCGTTCCGCTGTCAACGACCAGCACGGCGCCGCGCGCGATCACGGCGAGCACTCAGGAGAAGCGCCATGATGTCCGGAGGCAGCTCAGGGCTGCTCGGCGATCGCGTCATGGCGGTCGAATATGGGCCTCCCACCCTGAACAGCCCCAGGCCCGCGATCAGCGTGCGGCGGAGGGCGATGGCGGGAAGCGCGCGGGCGGCGCGGGCTGGGGAGTCGAGAAGACAAGGCCGGCATATGGCTGCGGTGCCTCGCTCGCACCGCGTTGTGATGCGCGGGCGCGAGGCCGCATGTCTCCCGCACCGCGGCCGGGATCGCGCGGATACGTGTCGCGCGAGAAGATACGGGCGCCGGGCGCTCGGGGAGCGTCCGAGAACCTGCTCGCGCCGCGCGCCGCGGAACAAGACCTGCGCGGGCAGGGTGCGGCGCGGGCCCCCTGGGAGGGCGCGCGCGCATCAACATACGTGTGCACTGACATCATCGTCGCAACCGGTCGCACGGCCGAGACCGCGCGGGGAGCCCGCGGCGCACGGGGACTGCACGCCGTCGCGCGGGGCAGCGCGCGTTGACGACGGCGGACACGGCGCGCGGTCGGGCACGCGGGGAAACGAAAGAGGCAGAAACACGCGCGAGCGCGGGCTGTCCGGTGACCACCCCGACTGGCGCATCACCCCACCCGCTCCGTGCGCGGCCCGCCCGTGCGCCACTGCGAACCTTGTCGCCGTGCATGTGCACAGCGACGACGCGTGTTTCCGGTTCCGTGCGAGTAGCGGCGCGGGCGGCGTGACCACGACGGAGGCCCGCGTCCGCGATTGGGGCGCCGTGTCGCGGTCTGGGCGCGCGCCGCCGATCGCCTGGCGGGCGGCGCTCGTCGGAGGCGGGGTCGGGGAGGCGTCGAGGATGGGTCGCGACGGGCGCGCGCGGCGCAGACTTTCCGTTCGAAGCCACGTGGGCGGGCGGCGTGGGAGGCGGCGACGCGCGCCCCGCCGGCAATTCCGTTGAGCCCGCGACGTCTGCTCGCCAGCCGGGCGGCATGTGTCATCGTCCGAGACGGCGAGCGCACATCAACGGAAATAGAAAGGGGCGTCCGGCGCGGCGGCTGGACCCCGGCAACCCCGCCGCCAGCCCGCCCCTTGCCTATTCCGGCCGCCCGGTCCCGCGCGCTCGTGTGGACGGGCGGGCCGCGGGGACAGGCGCCCGTGCGCCTGCGGGGATTCCCTCCGCTGGGAAGACGCGGCTGCGCACTCGAGGTGCGGCTGCCGCGAGGCAGGCGGCCGCGGTGTCCCCCTCGCGCGCGAAGGTGCCAAGCGTGTGTAGCACGCCCGCGGGCAGGCCCCATGCTCCGGGCGTATCGTGTGGGAACGGCCGACAAGTGTCCGCGCTCTGATGGGCAGCCAGCCCCCTCACGCCGGGTGCGCGCAGTCGGGAGTGGCGCGCGCCGGGCGGAGGGCTCATTATAGGTCATCTGAGAAGCCGTGACACATCCGACGGACGCTCCGTGAGAAGGCCTCGCGCGGGCGTGATCGTCAAAGGAGGGATAGTACCTGACGGGCGAGAACGCGGACCCATATTCAGCACGCGGCGGGACTTTGGGCGGAGGAATGCCCGGCGCTTCGCGCAGGACCGCGGGGTGCGGCTGTGGCTTCGAAGCCTGCGCTGGGAGGGGCGCGGACGGACGGAGGTCGAATTGAGCTCACCGAGAGAAAGTGGCTGCGGTGCAGAGCCTAACGAGGATGAGCAAGCAACACGCACAGGCGGCCAGGCGGGACGCTGTGCTGCGGGAGGTCAGAGAAGAGCGCATCGCGCAGGCCATGAGGCAGAACGCAGCGAACCAGGAGAGCGGGCGGGCTGTGAGGCTAGGCGGCAGGCGGAGGACCGACGGCAGGAGCGTCAAGAGAAGAGAGACGCGGGCGCTGGGTGGCCATAGGCGGCTAGAGGAAGAGACCTGGAGGCGGATTGAATAGAGAGCAACAGAGTTGGATGCCGGATTTCCTCGGGGACCAAGAAGGGCGGCGACCAATGAGCAGGAAGTATACGGGTGCAGCTGACGTAGGGCGGCATGCGAGCATAGAGCGTTCGTTCAGGAGAGGCGTGAGGGGCGTCGGACGAGCGGGAAGAGAGGCCCGGGACCGGAGAGAGGCTCGGGGGCGGCAGCGTGGAGGCAGGACGGGCGTGCGAGGGAAGGAGGTGAGGTACAGGAGCCGGGGCCGCATGGATCAGACTGGAGGACTGAATTCTGGAGCTAGAGGGCGACCGGGGCTGGGACGGATGAGGAGAGAGAACTGCAGAATGAGGAAGTGGCAGGTGGTGGCGCTGGAGGAGCGGCAGGAGCGGACGGGCTATGGTGCGGGGCGCTTAGTCACCACCAAAGTTGTATAGCGGCAAAATCGGTCGGGGGTAGGGCTAACCCTAGCCTAGGGTCGGCGCTTAAGGCCAACCCTAGGGAGAGTGGGCTTGGTTGATTAGACCATGTTTCATCCCGAGGGTTTAAATCGACGGCAAATGTCTCCTGGTTCTTTCTGCATCTCATGAGTGTGAATTCAGACTGCTGGGGGTCCATAGCATCGAGAAGGGAGCTCGAGATCACCAGTAGAATGGGCGTCTAAATACCATATCTGGCCATAATTACCATATTGGGAAGGTTGTTCCCATCACTGGCAAAATCGGCAGGTCTAAAAAATATAAACTCCGTCAGTTTTGAGAATTTTGCAAATCGCCTTGACAGTTTTGTTCCCCCATCCAAAAGGAGTCGTTTGGTCAAGGCGATAAGAATTTGGACAACATTTGAAGCCTCCTATAGCCTTGTACAACTTTGGTGGTGACTAGACGCCCCGCACCATAGGAGGGATGCGCGCCTGTGTGTCGAGCGCAGGACGGTGAGCTTCGACTTCTGGCTGAGAAAAAGAGGATCCTTGCCGTAACCTCGTGTTTCGAAGCGCTGCAGCTGGCGGTGCGGGAGCCCCGAGCTACGCCCACGTCGGAGGGGCCATCGGGCATGCGAGCGGGCGCGCCGGCCTGAGACGGAGAAGCAGAGAGGCATGATTTGGCGGGCTGACGGAGAGGTGTATCCTGGAGATGGAGGAGTTGAGATGAGCTGCCGCGAGAGGTTGCAGTGCGGTGGGCGACGGAGGAGAGCGAGGCGAGATGAGAGAGAGCGATCGGAGCTGGCAGATCGCGCGCTGAGTTGGATTCGCAGCGCACGCGAGCCGGGCGAGTGGCAGGCTGGCGGGAGACGCGGCGGGCGGGGGAGCGATGCCCGGGGTCCCGGCGGCGCGGGCGGAAGGGGCGAGGAGGGGGAGGCCCGATTTGGTAAAGAGGGAAATGGCCGAAAATGAAAACCGGCCGAGTTGGGAAGGGTGATGGCGAGCGTGGCGTTGTCGACCGAGGGCATATCAACTCTCCCTCCTCCTCCCATGGCCCCGCCCCGCCCCCCGCCCCCTTTTCTCTCCCCTCCCCCGACATCGCGCATACACCCTCCCCAGACATCGCGCATACACCCATCTCCCACCGTCGCGTACACCGAGCTCGCTCTTCTCCTCAGCTACCGCCATTCTCGCACCGTAGCACATGTCTGCGTCCCCGCAGCCACCACCGCCCGCGGTCCCCGCGCACAGGGAGGAGCCCGTCGCGCAGACCAACGGCTCGCCCCCCGCATCCAGCTCTCCCGCCCAGCTCGCCGCGCTTCTCACCAAGAGCCTCCAAGAGGCCGAGTCCCTCAAGTCCGAACTCGCACAGGTCAAGCGACGCGCCGACAAGGCTGAACGCCTCCTCGCCATCTTCCAGTCGTCATCGCAGTCCGGCTCGCCCAACGGATCCCCGCCCGGATCGTCTCAGGGCGCGTCGTCAAAGCCCCATCTCTCCGAAGCGACGCGCAAGGCCATCCTCGATTCAGATGCCCGTGCAGATGCCGCAGAGCGCGCCCGCGACGAGGCTGAAGCGCGTCTGCGCATGCTTCAAGAGTACTGGACCGACGTAGATCGCTTTTTCTCCCAGATGGATGCGCGCACTGCCGACATGCGTTCCAGATGGACCCGGTACATCGAGTCGGGTGGCGGACCCATCGTCCCCATCGGCAACATCCCCACGCAAAACGCCTCCGTCTACCTCCCCACTGCGCTGCAGCACCACGACCTTCCGCTCCCACCACTTCCCTCCCGCTCCACCCGCATGCGCGTTGCGGGATCCTCGCAGCCTTTTCCGTCCGTAACCCTCCCCCCTCCTCCGAGCACGAGCTCAAGTCGCGTCCGTCCGCGCGCAGATAGCATGGACACCGGGTACAACAACGGCGTCCTTTCTGGGCCAGGTGCCCCGCCACCCGCCAAGCGACCCCGCGCCGAGCGCGACTCCGACCGTGGGCGCGACCGCCACTACAGCTTATCTGTGAGTCCCTAGTTCTGACTTCGCTGTTGCCCGTCGCGGCCTATCGCCACCGCTGTAAATCTCGGCGGCAGTATCACACGCTGGGACTGCGTCTCAAGTCCTTACCGCACCGCATCGCTGCGCAGCGGCATAGTTGCGCATGGATGTGGCCGCCCACCGTCGTTTTGCAGATGTATCAGTTGTGCCGTTGCCTATGAATCGTCGTGACGAGCGGACTCCGTTAGGCGCGAGTCCCTGGCGCTGAGCGCGGCTGTACCGGCGGATCACATTGGCTCGTTCATTATGTACTCATTACTTCTGTGTAGCCGTCCAATTCTCCTCATCCCGCCTACCTGTCGAACGGGCACGCTGTAGACCACTCGCCGACTCTCCACCCTCATCCCGCCAACACCCTTCCCGCGCTCCACTACTCTGCGTATCACCATCCATCCAGCCGCCGCTCAGATCGCGACGATTCTGCCGCAGCGCGGTACGCCCCCGGTGGGTATGTCAGCCAACACCGCCATCGCCGCGGTCGCTCGACTTCGCGGGATCGCGAACACTCGTCCGGGAGCCGCTCGCGTTCCCGCGCGAGTTCGCTGAGCCTCGAGGAGATGCTCATCGAGGCGACGACCACGCCGGCCGAAGATCGCCCGGGCCCGGACGGACATGTGCAGCCGCGCGCGGTGCACCCGTCCGCGCATCTGCACCCGTCTTCGCGCCACCGCTCTCCGTCCCCGGGCTACCAACATCACCTCCAGGTCCTATCGCATGGGCGGTCACGCGCGCACTCCTCCGTGCAACTGCACCCCAGTGCCCACGCCTCCGGAACCGGCGCGTCTGCGCCCGGCCCCTTGCCTGTTCCCGGGCAGGTGCAGACGTATCAGACGCATATCTTCGCTCCTCCCGTGACGGGTGCTCCCGTGAAGAAGAGCAAACTCACTGCGGGCAGTTCGACACTGAGCGCTAATGGCAGTGTTCTGACTCTCGGTGAGTTTTTAGCGCTTCACGCCCTACGTCTTGCGCTGACAATGTTTCAGGCCCGACAGGCAGTGTTATTTCTGGCCCCTCGTCGCTGGGCGGTGGCGGGTTCCCGGCGACTAATGCCGCGGGCCAGCGCATCTGTCGCCAGTGTGGCCTCCCCGGCCGCTACAAGGACAACAAGTGTGTGGAGAAGTGGGGCCCAGGTCCCGAGGGCCCGGGCACGGTGTGCGACCGGTACGTGCCTAAAATCTAACCGCTAATAATGTCGCGCTGACCGTCGGCGGGTTGCCATGGGGTCTTTTAGATGCCGCAAGAAAATGAAGCGCGTCGAACGGCGCGGGACGCTCGACGGCCACAGCCTGGCCGCGCAGATGCACCACGCGCCCGCTGCGATCCACCCGTCTGGTGCGGCGCAGGCTGTGCCGGGCACGCTCGTGAACGGCCGCTCGATCCATCGCAGCGACACTCTGCACGTCCACCCATCATCGTCGCAGTCGCAGCGCTCGCTTGGGCCCGCTGGCACCCACATTCTGTCGTCTTCGAGCGGATCGTCGCCGCACAGCTCGTACGTGCGCCACGACCGCGATCGCGAACGGGACTACGACCACTCGAACTCGCCGCCGCACACGCACTACTCGAGTGCCGGCCGTGCGGCGCAGCGCACGCCTCCGACGCCGCCCTATATCGCGACGCTCCCGAACTCGGGCGCGAACGACGAAGAGGGTGCTGCATACAATGGCACTCCCCGGTCACGCGCCTCGCGCGCCGCCAGTCGCGAGCGGCCCGCGCACAAGGCCGTCGCAGCAGTGAACGGTCACCGCAGCGCGGAGGGTAGCGCGAGCGCGAGCAGCCGGTCTGCGAGCCGTTCCCCGCGATCGGGCGCTGGGGCATCGGGCGCGTCGCCGCGCGGGTCGGACGGCAAGTCGAAGAGCTCGGAGCTGATGGACGTCGACGCGGATGGGGAGGAGGTCGACGCTGAGGCGGAGGCGGAGGCCGATGCTGAGGCAGAGGACGTGGACGCTGATGCGGACGCTGAGGCCGATGCGGAGGCCGACGCCGATGCGGACGCGGAGTTGCTCGAGGCTGTTGACGCAGCTGAGGCGAACAACGCGACAGACGAGGAGTGGCTGAAGAAGGAGGACCCCTAGAGCATCCCGCCCCTTCCGCCTGATGATGACTTGTATGACTGCACGCACGACCGCACGAAGAGAAACCCCGCCCCACTCTGTCCGCCCCCGTATTATATTCTTTGCCCCCTTGTTGTCGCTGTACCGCTACTACCACCCGTTATGTGCTCGTCCTACGATACTGAAGTTTCCGCTCACGCATGGACGGCTCCGCTTGCTCGCTCTCGCACTGTTTTGTTTTCTGTATCTCGTGTATGTTCCCCTGTGTCTGATTGTAACTGTACGTCCGCGCGTTTTCGCTAAATGCTTGTAGACGGATCGGAACCCCTGCATTTCTCTCGTGTGTTTATGGTGTGCTCAAATTCGCATGGGTGGTAAGTTACCAAGGTGGCGAAGGATCTAGACAGGCCGTGAAGCGCATACATGCACTGCTTTCAAGTTCTAGGCTCGTGAACCAGCACTCTAGTTCTGCGGAAGACAGTCGTTCCTTCAGAATAGAGGCTGGACCCTCCTATGAGGGGGGGTGCGGGTGACCCCCGTGGGAACGACGCGCCAAAAAGTGTCTCGACGTCTTTCCTCGCCCGCCGTTCTACGCAGCTGAAAATCCTGAAAATATATGAGGTGGTTTGGAGAAGACAGCATTCCCCAAGAGCAATTTTTTATTGTGATACGTCGCCCACAGTCCGCTATGGAGCTCTCGAGGGCCGGGAGCTTCAGCCATCCATTGAAAGCCCGCTCGTTCTCTCACCAAGGGATTCCAACTCAGACGTTCCCACGGGGGGTCACCCGCACCCCCCCTTCATAGGAGGTTCATACCTATCAAGTTCGAACGTTCATCGACATCACCGACGGCCATCCTCTTCTGCACTCGACAATCGACGGAAGCTGCTTGTTCCTTAGATCTCGCCATGGGAATCTCTTCAAGATTCGACATATCTAGGCTCGTCTGCGTATGACGGCATGCGCAGATGAGATCTGAGAGCTTTTCGAATGCTGAGCCGACTCATTTGCGCATGTATGCACCCAACATTTGCATATCCATGTGCACGAAGACTGTTACCTCCTGCAGCCACGCCCCTCCCTTAGATGCACACGTTCGCAATCTCTACCTTCCGATGTATCCCGCCTTCCAACGCAGTGGGCAAATAAATGACTCACCAAGCGTAAATCGATAAGGTCATTCGACAGCGCCGCAAGTGCTTCCAGGGCCACGCCCCTTCGCGGAGGCCATTAGAAGAGCCCTGATTCGATAACCCACGACTATATACCGCGCCACGCACGGCGACTGCTGCTCTTCCAAGTCTGCTGCCTCCATAGCACCCAGCTTTCTTGCCGCGCCCTGCTTTTGCTCGTATGAACTTCGACACCACCGAACACGTCCTCCCTGGTCCGCCAGCTGACGGTGGCCTCTCCCTCACCTTCGTGCGCGCCGTCCCCCATTCGTTGGATGCCGCAGAAGCAGAGCCGAGTGCACGGCCTCGTCCCACTGTCTCGCTGATCCTCTTGCACAGCGCCGCATCGCGTACGTGACGGTGTGGCTGCCCACTATGTTATATATACCAGTAGCGCCAGATACTCATCCGAGGCCTGCGCCATTTTCAGACAAGGAAGTGTGGTTCCCCACGCTCGAGCACCTCTTCGACCTACAGGAACAAGACACCGATCACGCGAGTCCGTGCGTCGTCGTCGAAGCATGGGCGATGGACGTACCCAGCCACGGCCGCGCCGCGGTGCTGAACGAGCATATATTGCCACAGCTCGCCGACGGTAGTATATGTGAGCGTCTTCCGAATACTCTCTGCCATCTGCAGTGGTTTGCTCACAACACCGCACAAGCTGGACAGCAGGCGGCCCGCGGGGTACAAGTCCTTCTCAAGTCCGGCCTGATCAAAGGCAACCACGTCATCGGCATCGGCCATTCCGCAGGTGCATGCGTGCTGTACGTCCTATCCCTCCCGCCTCCGAGTCCCGCGTCGCCTTAGCCTTACTTACAATCGCTGCAGGATCCAGTCCACAGCAGGCTACCCCCGCGACGCGCTCCCCTACGCGTCCATCATCCTCGCCGAGCCGGTCATTCTGACCCCCGACGTGCTCGACCAGATCCTGCAAGGCGACTCCTCCCTCGGGAAGATCCTCGAGTACACGCGCACGCGCCGCGACATCTGGCCGTCCCGCGCCGTCGCGCGCGCCTGGCTCGCCACCCGGCTTCCCTGGAGCCAGTGGGACGCGCGCGTGCTCGATCTCTACGTCGTACGTACCGCGCCCCGTCCTCTGTCAGTGTCTCTGCTGATGCGCTCGACACGCGCTGATGGGATGCACGCTGCAGGAGCACGCGCTGCGCGACCTGCCGACCGCGGTGTACCCAGACGAGCACGAGGGCGTGACGCTGGCGACGACGCGCGCGGCCGAGCTCGCTGCGTACACGCACTACGAGGACGCGTACGAGGCGGCTGAGATCCTCCCCAGCCTCTGCGATGCGGGGCTCCCCGTGCACATCGTCTGGGCCACCGTTAAAGACAGACTGTAGGTCTCATCTCCGAAACCTGTAGTTGCACCGGTACTAACGACGGGAAACGTGGGCAGGCCGCAGCCGGTGCACAAGTGCGCGGCGAGCGCGGCGGCGAACAGCCCGGTGCGCATGATCTGGAACGTCGTGGAGGGCGGGCACCAGATCGTGCAGGAGAACCCGGACGGCGTCGCAGACGCTATCTGGGAGACGCTCACACACAACGCGAAGTCCGTGTACATGAACGAGCAGTGTGAGTTCGTGGTCGACAAGCTCTTCCCGGATTTGGATTCGGGAGATGGGGAGTAGTTACCTGAAGGATGAAACGTTGGCGTCGCTACAAGAAGTTGTTGATCTCTGGTATGCACCAACCCACGGCAGGATCACGGCTGTCTTGAAGTTCAATTGAGGGCCTCGCGCCTAAGTACGAGTACATGGACAAGTGAATGTCTTAGTAGCAAGCAGTAACAGTACAAAACAAATAGTAGGTTAAAGACCTGTTGGGCGCACGAGACGTGCAATCAAAAAACTGTACGTTTTATACAATCAAAACTCAGGTGAAGTCGACCGGAGAGGTCGCGGACGCGGACCACCATGTCGTGCAGGAGGACCCGCGCGGCGTGGCGCAGGCCATTTGGAGCATCCTGAAGGACGAATATGCGTCATAGAACCTGCGTCCCATCCAGCCAGGGTGACTGTCTCGCGGAAGATAGTAGGGAGAGATAAACTGATTTGTACGTGTACAGTATCGACATCGGTGTGGGCTGCTATGGTTCATATTGGGTTATTCCGGAACGCAAGAAAATAAGCTAAGAACCCCAAGATTGTGAGTATTTATAGTAAGCGAGTTAGCAGTAGATAGTAACAGTACACAAAAACTGGTGGGCTGAAGATATGCGGGACGCGTAAATAATCAAAAGCTCGAACTTCTATGACGCCAAAAGGGCCAACGTCGAGTTCTTAGTCAAGGTATACGCGACGATCCGCATCGCATGCATCAGTGGAAGCGTCTCCACCGCATTCACCTCATATGCATCGTAGTCACCCGACACCGCCAGGTCGTTCCGCCGCGCGCGGTGCCCGATGAGTGACACGGTGACAGTCTGCAGCCCCGGCACAGCCGCGCGAATCCGACGCGCGAGCGCATCGAGGTCGAGCGCGAGAATGTACTCCTCCGCGGGACATAGCGGCGCCGGGTTCGCCACGTCCTTCAGCAGCTCCCCGTCCGGCTGGAGGCCGAAGCACCCAAGCGACAGCCCGAAGGAGCGCAGAGACGGGATGTTGCTGATACCCTCGATGAGCGCGTCCTGTCAGAAAACACGTGAGTAAGAGTCGTATGATGCCAGAAGGGCGGGCCAACTCACCAACGACGCGGGCACATCGACTTGTTCAGGCAGAATCACTCCCCCGAAGGCGACCATGATGTCGAAGCAGCGCACCGGCCCGAGCAGGGGTCCGCTCATGAGCTCGTCGAACTCGCCGTTCTCGAACATCTCCACGTCGAACGCGTGGAAGTACACGTACTTCGGGCGTGTCGTCGCGAGCACCGCGTGGAACATCATCGTGTTCATGTAGGGGCCGTCGATGTGCAGCTGCTCGACGGGGCACGAGAGCCCGAGCAGGAAGTGGTCCGTGAGCGCGCCGTGCACGGCCTTGAGCGCGGTCCACTTCGGGCCCTCGTACTCGGTGAAGTCGAACATGTTCGACTCCCGGAAGTTGTCGAAGTCCTCGAGGTCGTCCCCGAGGATCTCGAGTTGGGACGGGTCGATCCGGAGCGTGAGCGTGTGCACGTTTGGGAACGCGCGTGCGTAGTACAGGGTGTTCGGGAGCTCGTTTGCGGTGAGCGTGAGCTTCTGTATGGTCGGGTAGCACTCCTCATACTGGTCGCTTCTGGTGAAATCGGGGGTGGTGCCGCATGAGCGCGCGTCCAGAGTTTTGAGTGTCTCTTGGGAGTTGTGGAGCAGCAGGATAGGATTCCGGTGGTTCTCTGTTAGTGCTTTGCGCAGCCTCTCGTCTTCATCCACCTCCTCCTCGTCACCCTCGTCATCGTCACCCTCGTCGTTGTCATCAGACGAAGCACCGTCGTTGTGGGGTATCATCTCCAAATCGGCGGATACCAGGCTGGACTGCAAGTCCCTGAGGAAGACGCTGGTGTGTTGGCCGACCTCGGACACCACGAGATGTTGGACGTGGCGGAGCAGCCCGAACGCACTCGCCAGTCCGGGGCTAGACTTGAAGAACTCCTCCGCATGCTTGATGACCAGACGTTTGACCCCAAGGAGGGGTCCACAGGCGATGAGGAACTTCTCCAGGACGTCGGCGTCGGCCGCAGAGAAGAGCCCAATGTGAATGTAGAGGGAGTCGAGGAGTGGGAGGCGATGAGGATGGTCTGCCAGCATGAACGCAACGAACGAGAGGATATGCGATGCATTTTCAAGGTACACAGCGTCCCGGAGGAGGTACTTTGGACCTTGGGTGTAAAGCTCGCGGGACGCTCGCATCAGCCGAGAGATGGTGTGTATGTCCTCGGAGAATGACATGACCATCAGCAGGACATCCAGGTTCAGCAAGGGTTTGAGATTGGAGGCGATCTTCATCTATTGAGGAAATTGACATGAGCAAGCGATGTCGACGAAGAAGGAGCCCGGCTTGGCTAATATAAAGGACGTCGAATTTGGGACAAAGAAACTCATAGGTACGCGGGCTACCGGCGTCTAACTTGGGCGCACGTCGCATTCTTACACTTTTTGCATCATGCTTGGGTTGACCTGCGCACAAAACATAGATCACTTACCTTATATAACGAAGAAGATGCTAGCTGGAACCTCAGATGAGGCGCTGAGGTTTGGCGAGGTGGTCGCGAGCAACCAAGTACGCTTCCAACAATCTCCGCGTGGCGTGGGCGCGCGCTAGCCGGCAACGGCCATCTCTTTCAAAAGAGGTAAGTAGGATCCTTACCGAGAGTAACAAGGCACTTGGAGAACAACTGAACCAATGCAACGACAGGCGAGAGGCATACGCCCAGAGATAATACATGGGAGTGGGATGTATACAGTGCGCATTACAGTATATGATATATTCTTTACGGGTAGCTGCAATCACAGAAACGGCATGTTCCTCAAAATCTTCGCGGGGTCCAACTCGTCAAACATGGTGATGCGCGACCCATGCCTCAGCGGTATCCTTTCCACCGCGCCCTTCTCGTACTCCACGTTCGCCCCCAGCGTCGCAAATGCGGCAGGTCTCTTTCGGTGTCCGATGAGCGAGACCACGATCGTCTCCAGCCGGGGTACCCTCTTCTGGATCTGTAGTGCAAATGCATCAAGGTCGAGGTCGCGCAAGTACTCTTCTGCGGCACATGGCTTCCCCGCTGGATTTCCGCCAAGCTTGGCCATCATGTCCTCCAGGCTTTGTTGGAGACCGTAGCAGCAGAGCGTCACCCCGAAGGAACGCAGGGACGACATTTCGGCAATTCCGTCAATGAGGGCGTCCTGGAAATACATGAGCATCATGTTGTACCAGAGGATCAGAAGTTACTCACCAATGCTTCGGGCGCGTCGACATTCTCCGGCTCGATCATGCCCCCGAAGAACACCATAATCTCGAAGCAGCGCACCGGCTCGAGCAAGTTCCCGCGCATGAGCCTCTTGAACCCCCCGCCAAAGAACAGATCCACATCGAACCCCTGGAAGTTCACATACGCCGGCTTACACGCCAACAGCACCAGGCGCCACATGCGCTTGTCCATGTACCCGCCCGTGACATGCACCCTCTCCACAGGCCCGCGCAGCCCGAGCAAGAAGTGGTCGATGAGCGTCCCATGCACCTCCTCGATCCCCGCCCACGCGCCCTCGCCCGCGCGCGTGAGCTGGTCGGTGTTCATCATGCGGAGCGCGCAGAAGTCGTCGAAGTCCGCGCCGAACGCGTCCAGCTCGCGCGCGTCGCACTCGAGCGTGAGCGTGCGCACGTTCGGGAACGCGCGCGCGTAGTGCCCGGTCGCGGGGAGCTCGTTCGCGGCGAGCGTGAGAGCGTGCACGTGCGGGTAGGTCTGCTCGTAGACGTGGTCTAGGCCCAGGTCGGAGAAGGTATCGCAGTGGCGCACGCTGAGCGTCTCGAGCGTGTCCTTGGAGGCGTGCAGCTGGACGATCGGGTTCCGGAAGTCGCCGTCGTCCTCCTCGTCCTCTTCGTCCTCTTCGTCCTCTTCTTCCGAGTCTTCGCTGGCTAGGCTGTCCTCATCGGCGGGATGGGGGACCATGAACAGGTTGGCGGATACCAGACGCGACCGAAGATTGATCAGGAAGGTGTTCGCCCGGGCCCCGATTTCGGACACGGTGAGGTGCTCGACGGAGCGGAGCATGCTGAACACGCCCGACATCCCCGGACTCGACTCGAAGAACTCCTCCGCGTGGTCAATAGTGAGTCGCTGGATCTCGAAAAGCGGTGCGCAGTCGAGGAAAAGCTTCTCCAGGAGGTCGGCGGCGGCCCCAGAGAGGTGACCGGTCGAGATTTCGAGACGTTTGAGAAGCGGCACGCGTTTAGGGCTGTCCACACGCATGAAGGCCACGAAGGAACGAACGTTTGCGTCTCCCCTGAGCTTCACGGTACGGCGGAGGAGGTACTTGGGGCCTGCGGGGTACAGCTCGCGAGACGCGCGCATGAGCCGGGAGATCGTGCGTGGGCCTGACATCGACATGATGTTGATGAGGACGTCTATGTTGAGGACTGAATCGGGATTGGCGGTCTGTTCCATCTAAGGGAAACATTCGTATGAGCAAACGGTATGGGAGGAAAGACAGCCTTTAGACGCTCGCGCTTGGGGGCATTTTCAGACAGTGTTTGCGCTGTTACAGAGACTGCATACCCAAATATCGCACTGCAGAAGCGTAACTCACCTTTCAGAGCAAATATGGAGTTGATGGAGGCCTTTGATACGAGACGCGGTGGCGGTGAGCAGGTGGCAGTCACCAGCGGCGTAATTTGAGGAGCCCTACCTAGATTCTAATATTCATATCAGCATCAGAGTTTCCACAACTGGTCATGGGGGCTTCACTTACACGCACGACTCGACTGCAGCGAGACGGAACGCGGGAGAACGACGCGTCCCCGCGCCCGTCTTTAAAGCACCCAGGAAAAGGCCGCCAAGGCACACCCCGCCGGCGCGATCCTTTCAGCCGGCGCGGATCGCGTCATCGCACACATCGCGCTGTGGATATGTGTGTACGATCCCACATAGCACAACATCGCACACCCGCGCTATCCCACATCTCCCCAGCGTACACTGCCCCCGGGGCGTCTGGAACATTCTGGGCCTGCGATCGTCGGAGGCTTTGAGTAGTATCCAACAGGCCTTCGACGGCCAAGTTTCAGCACTGCCGAAGCCTGAAGGAGGGCAGAATGAGTAGAGGCCACCAGGTCGCGAGCTTGGAGATTGACCAGGCGCAACAGTCTCATGATCTAAGTAGGTGTATTCACGGAGAACTTCGTCCAAGATGAAAACTCACCAGAAAAGCTGCCGCGCTCACTACACTCATGCATCACCATGGGCAGATAGTCCATAGCAAACCAGCCGAAATATACGGAGAAATGAGACGCAAGACACAGTGGGATGAGTCCAAGTCGAACTTCGTGCGCACGGGCCGTGATGCACGCGCGCCTAACACGTGTCGGGCCATAGCCGTATCCAGTTTCGAGCCCGAATCGTCCCTGTCCTGAACACCTCTGTGGATAGGCACCCCTAAGCTTGTGTGTGAGATACAAACCAGCCATCGGTGAGCGGGCGACTCGACGGCAAACGATAACAGTCAAACACAACTAGACGTTCGATGAGCATCGACGAGGTGCACGACAAGTACGTACATCCACAATCACGCCAGAGAAATTACTGCATCACCAGACTTTTTCAAGGTCGAGCGCAACGACCCGCACCGCGTGCCACAGCGGCAACCGTTCTACCGCATCCTTCTCGTAGCGCACATCCTCGCCGAGACTCGCCAACGCGTTCGGCCGCGCGCGGTGCCCGATGAGCGAGATCGCGACCGTCCGCAGCCCCGGCACGGCGTTGCAGATGCGGAGCGCGAGCGCGTCGAGGTCGAGAGAGCGCAGGTGCACCTCCGCGGGGCAGAGCTTGCCGGGGCGCGCGACGACCCGCAGCAGCTCCCCGTCGGGTTGGAGGCCGAGGCAGTTGAGGGTCAGCCCAAAAGAGCGTAAGGACGGCATCTTGCCGATGCCCTCGATGAGCGCGTCCTAGAACACCAAACTTTAGGTATATTTTACGCGGAGCAGCGCGCGGGTGCTCACCAGTGCGTTGGGCACGTCGACCTGCGCGGGCTCGACTACGCCCCCAAAGGCGAGCATGATCTCGAAGCAGCGGACGGGCGCGAGCAGCGGCCCGCGCATGAGCAGAGTGAACGCGCCGTCGCGGAAGAGGTCGACGTCGAACGCGTTGAGGTTCACGTACGCCGGGCGCGTCGCCTCGACCACCGCGCGGAACATGATGATGTTCATGTAGCAGCCCTCGATGTGCACCTGCTCGACGGGGCGCGCGAGCCCGAGCAGGAAGTGGTCCATGAGCGCCCCGTGCACGACGCGCAGCGCGGGCCACGCCGCCCCAGCGCGCAGATGGCGCTGGTTCGCGACGCGGAAGGCGTCCCACACCTGGAGGTCCGTCCCGAGCGGGGCGAGCTCGCGCGCGTCGCAGCGGAGCGTGAGCGTGTCGAGGTTGGGGAACGCGCGCGCGTAGTGCGCCGCGGCGGGCGGCTCGTTTGCTTCGAGCGTGAGCGCGCAGACGTGCGGGTAGACGTGCGTGTACGGGGCGCCGGTGTCGGAGAAGGTGTCGCATGCGCGGACTTTGAGGAGCTGGAGGGTCGCCTGGGAGGTGTGCAGCTGCAGGATCGGGTTCCCGAAGTCCTCGGCCTCGGGCTCCGAGTCGTCCCCGCTGTCTTCCTCCGCGTCGTCGTTGTCTTCTTCGTCGTCCGACTCGTCCCAGTCTTCGTAGTTGATGTATGCGCCATCGTCGTACTCGTCTTCATTGTCGCCTTCATAGGGGTCGTCTCCGTCCTCATCGTGGTCGTCTCCGTTCTCATCGTGGTCGTCTCCGACCTCGTCTCCGTCACGCGCGAGGCTCTGGTCACTGTCTTCTTCGAAAGGAAGAGGGATCATCGCGAGGTCGGCGAACACCAGGCGCGACTGCGAGCTCCTCAGGAAGACGCTCGTGCGCGGCCCAACCTCCGACAGCGTGAGCTCCTTGACCCCGCGAAGCAGCCCAAATGCGCGCGCCATGCCCCGAGTCGACTCGAAGAACTCCTCCGCATGGGTGATGGCCAGCCGCCGGAGCTCCAGCAGGGGCGCGCTGTCGGCGATGAAGTGCTGTAAGAGGCGGGCGTCGGCCTTCGGGACGCGTCCTGTGGAGATGTAGAGCGAGTCGAGGAGGTGGAGGCGGTGTGGATAGTCTGCACGCATGAACGCGACGAAGGAGGGGACGTGTGCTGTGTTGCCCAGGCCTGCGGAGTCGCGGAGGAGATATTTGGGGCCTTCGGGGTAGAGCTCGCGGGATGCACGCATGAGGCGGGAGGTGGTGCACATGTCTGATAGCGACATGATGTTGAGCAGGACGTCGAGGTTGAGAGCCTCGCCGCGATTGAGATTTAGCTTCATCTGCAGAGGAAAAGACGATGAGCATACGAAGTCGCGTTATGAGATATATGCACCCTCTGGCGCAGGTGTTCAGCAGAACACGTTTCTCGGCACGGGTAGAGGTTTCTAGATCGGCAGATGCGCACGGAGAATGTCCATTTCCCGCGATGTACATGCGTTGGACCGCGCGGCCTGCGTGGTCAAACCCGGTGTTCTGCTATACACGCAACTGATGCTGCTGCCCAAAAGCTCCTTTTACGACTTCCAGGCGCGCCGCGTGAGTGACGGGTATTTGGGGCATTGGTTGTAAACGTGCAAAGATGAACAACTCGGACCGCGTCATAGCACGAGGTTATGAGGCCAAGGCATCATGCATCAAGCTCAAGACTAGCATCGTGGGTACTGTGTACGATTGGGTTGATATGCGGAAAACGTCCTGACACAGGGTCCGACATATGCTGTAAAACAACTTGTTCAAAAAACGAGACGTTTCCGCCCTCCGGAGTAACAACTTTGCATACATCGCTAGTTCGAGTCGACATGAGTGTAAGGAAATGTCGCACCTTATGTAGAAAACAAGGGAAGTGCAGGGAGCGCAGCTCGAATGGATGGAATCCAGAGGTGAGGCCTGAGGACGGAATGCGAGGCCGTTCAAGGGGGTGCGGCGGCGGCTGGTGGTGGTGGTGGTGGGGTGCTGTAGTGCCACGGGGTCGCGGGGTGTCGAGTGAACGGCGAGGGAAGAGGTTGTCCCGAATCGGCAAGATCGCGGTCACGAGGGGCGTGAAGCGCGTAAAACACGAAGAACGCGTCGCGTCGTAGAATCGAAGACTTGCTGACAGCGCCGACGTCCGTTGTGCCACGACGCGCCGCACACGTGCAGCCCCACCGCCTCCGTCGGAGCTTCTCTGGCTCGTCGTGCAAGACGCTACGTGTCTTGCTATGAGCGCAACTCGACTACATGCTCCAGCATATAGGCGACGCGCAAGGCCGGCTGGCGGCCGCAAACAGAGGGGAACCTAGAGGAAGCGGAAACGGTAGATAACGCGGGATTGTGTGCTGGAGGAATATTGAAACGTACGTCGAGAGGTGGCGCTTCGGGCGCGGCGTCGTGCAAATCCTCATGAGATGTGGCACGTCTCATCGCGTCGCCATCCCTGGTAGGTGGCCGGGCGAGCTAAGTCTCTCCAGCATTGCAAGCATGCGAGCCGATAGAGACCAGTGGGAAACGATGTGCTCGAACGCGCGCATGCAGGATCGCAAGTGGTTGTACATGGAGGCGAAGAGAGAGGACCGATCGATGGCAAACACCCGACAACTCCCGACAGGCTTCGCGAGCGCTTGCGTGCCCACGACGTCCTGTCGCAGCATTCTCCGGAGTCCAAGTCCGACCAGACCTTTGTGCAGAACCTCGCCAGTACTAGTCCTTCTACATCCTCTACCATGGGTACACAGTCTGTAGATTTGCCGAGCTTGCACTGCATTCTTTGCTAGCTTCAGCATGCATGCAACGTCGTTGGATCGCGCGCGCGCAAGTCGTATTCAAGTTCACCACACCTCAGTCACAGGCTCCCGATCTACACGATGACATCCGCGATCCGCATCTACTCCAGACGATATCTTCTACTCCAGGTGGTCGGAACCCCACTTCCCCAGTCCATATCGTAGACGTGGCGGTCTCCGTAATATCTGGCATGCGGCCCGCGCCCTGACTGACGAAGAGTATCGCAAGCTTGACCGCCCACCACGACCACCTCTCATCCGAGCGGTTTCATGGTTCCGTATATAAGGTGCGGTATTTCCTTGCACTTATGCCAACCCGGGCCAGTGGCACATGCGAAATTGTTCCTCCGAAAGGCGGAAAACGTCCTGTCTTTTGAACACGTTGTGCTGCAGAAAACCTGGATAGTCTAGTCAAAGCTTGCACGAGCCTCTGCACTGTCCCGGGCGACCTCTCCGCTCACAATGCCTCCCCGGAGCGTACAGAAAACAATGTGAATCCACCGGGAACACTCCGTTCGCTTTCCAGATCTTGCTCGCCGCCCACTGCCAGTGTGATCTCAGGCCGACGTCACCTTTAAGCATCGTATCTGAGTCTAAGTCCTACGGAAAGAACGCCTGATCAAGAGGCCTAGTAGCGCACGGACACCTTCCTCTTCCTACCACTATGCCCGCTGTCTAAACTCCAAGTCGGCTTTCCCGGGCAAGAGCACCCCAGCGACGAACCGCCTCTCAGGCGTTCCCCTGCCCTCCTCAAACCGCACGTCATAGGTCAGCACGATGTGCGCCAGCAGCGCCTTCAGCTGAATCGCAGCGAAGAACCGACCCGGGCTGTCGTACCCCAACCCAGTGAGCCGTCCCGCAGACACCCTGTAGGTCACAAAGCCCACTCACCACGCGTCCGCCCCGTGCCCGAACGGCATGAAGTCCGGCTTGGTCGTCACGAACAGATTTTTGTGCGCCTCGTTGTCCTCGCAGTGCCGCCATGGCTGAAACTCGGCGGCCTCGCGGTAGTTATCTTCGTCTCGGTGCAGCGAGAGCACGGGGCACGCGAGCATCGTGCCCGCCGGGACCGTCTGGCCGTTGCTGAACGTGAACGGCTGCAGGGCGAGTCGTTGCTGCGCCCCTGTCCGTACGCAATGTAAGTGAGTATATGTCGTTATGTGTGCCGATATTTGGAGGGCCGGGCTCACAGATGCCAGGCGGGTTCAGGCGCAAGACCTCCTTGAGGAAACTGTCGAGCTTACGCATCTTCCCGAGCGCGGCCTTGGACCAGCCCTCGTGCGCGAAGACGCCGTCGACCTCCTCGCGCAGAATCTGCACGTACTGTGGAGACGAGGCGAGGTGGTAGAGGGCGAATACTAACGTCTGGTACGTCCCTTGTTAGTATCCGAGAATGACGAGGTGTACGGGAGACGTACTACGGTGGGCGAATGCAGCGCGCCGAAGTTGATCCACAGCATCCGCAGAGCGAGGTTCTCAGGCTGTCGCGCATCTCCCGTGGCATTGTCCAAGCACCACTGGAGTGCATCGTCCTACCTTGTTTGGTCAGCACCCCACAACTAAATACGTCGCACAAGGAAGGCACGTACAGGTATCGACGCGCTGGCCTTCTCGGAAGCTCTCTTCGCTGCGTCTCGCTGCTCGATCACCAGTCGGAGGTGGGTCGCGACCCGCTTCGCGCATTTTCGCGCGTTCCCCAGCAGGCGGGACACTGCTCTGTACAACGAAGCTCCGCCAATTACTCTCAAGGCGCAGGACGGATGCGAGGGACTCACGGTTTCAGCCACTCGGGGCACGACTTGACGACGATGACGTCCCTGATGAACTCGTTGGCGAAGCTCATTGCGAGCTTCAGGTACTCTGGGTTCCTACCTGTGACACGTCAGCAGTGAGCACCATAACATGCGAGTAGGCAGCACAGCTCACATAGAGGCTCCCCAACGAACAGCCGGTTGCTCATCTGGCACACGACGTGCGCGACGACCTCTTCCACCGGGTACGCCTTCCACTCTGCACCACGCCTCGGCTCATCAGCATACTTGCTAACCAAACACGGCCGGCTGCATACCTGTACTCAGCGGAATCTGCTCGTCCAGCGCGACCGCCATCTCCTCCCGGAGCGCGTCGAACCGCGCGGCATTGCAGCGCGTGAGCTCGCTCCGGATCCACGTCACATGCGAGCGGTCGTGCACGACCTCCACGCCCGCCGTATGTATCGTCTGCAAGAACTAACCCCCTCGCGCCTTGGTCAACTTTCCTTCCCCAAACCTTGTGTGAAAGGGGAAATGCTTACGACGTCCTGCGCGGCCCCAAACGACAGCACGTCCGGGGGCGCGCGGCGGATGTCCTCGATGGCCTGCGCGTCCGTCGCGACGACGATCCAGTGTGCAAGGAGGCGGATCCTGTACAGGCCCCCGCGGTACTGCCGCGCCAGCGTCAGCACCTGCGGCGCGCGAGTGGTCGGGAGGCGCACCTTGCGATAGCCCTCATCGATCATTCTCTGGCTGTTACGCACGAACTGCAGCGCCGTGATCATGGAGAGCAGCGGCGTGCTGTAGCCGACCACGGGGATCGCACCGAGCTAGAGCGTGTCCTGGTGAGTATGCTGGGGACTTTCGGGGATGGATGTTGTGAGGGCTCACTACGGCAGAGCGTCGATGTGAGTCCCATACAGCAGCCAAAAGCGCGACGAGGAGTACCCAGACGACTGCATACATGGCTGCAGAGAGACCAGAGGGGGCGGTCGTCGCAGGGATTTAGAGTGGGCAACGGCAGCCGGGGTACAGGTACGTCACCACCTCCGCGAGTCCGCAGCGCGCATCCGAAGTGGCAGTATATGTATATGGCCGTCATTGCTCTCCGGCCGCTCGATACAAAAGCGTGGGCTCTCGCGAAAATGCGCTCCGGGCCCTGCGTGACATACACACCCGGCTGACAGCATGCGCACGCGCCTAGCGGCTTCGCGGTTTTCCATGTACGCCTTCCGTCTTCCGTCTGCGCCAGAACCACCCACGGGTGGCGAGAACCGTGTGGGCGGACGCCGATAAAGAAAGAGACGAGAAGACCGTGCTGCAGCTGCCCACGCAGCCGGGAACGTGTTTTCTCTTCGACGGCCCTCGGGCTAGCAGGTGTAGCTTGAGTATATTAGTACCGTATTCGCAACGTTCTACTTACGCAAAGAGCGGGCGACGATCGTGGCGCGCGAGTTTGCGGGCCTCACCGGCGAGCCCGAGCTCGAACACGGCTCCGAACGCGCTCGGACTCGGGGATGTTAGGACTAGGTCTCCTCGCTCGGTGGCAGTATACTCGACGAATATCGTATATCACCTACTGCGAACATACACGTACTGTCTGTGACCTCAACTGCACCCAGCAGACCCGCGAAGCCCATCTCTGCTGCGATCCAAGGGACGTCGCAAGCCTGGCATATGCACGCGCACACGCTCACTCCTGCGGCTTCTCCGCATCATCCCGCTCAAAGTCCTCCTTCTCGGCCTTCGCCCCTGCCCCCTCCCCACCCGCCCAGTTCTCGTCCCTCTGTGTATGCAGCGGCAGCGCGCGCATCGGCACGCTCGCGAGCAGCCCGACGCCCGCGACCCCAATCGCGACGCGCCACAGCGTCTGGAGCGCGTGCGCGAACGCGGCGCGCGTCAGGTCCTTCTGCGGCTGCGCCATCCCGCGGACGAGCGGGATGACCGCGTACGTGACGTTGTCGCCGAGCCCGGGGAGCGCGGCCTGCACGGACGCGGGGAGGTGTGCGCGCAGCTGGTTCTGGAGGAGCGCGCCGCCGACGGTCACACCCCAGATCTACGTACACGGGGGTGGCGTGTCAGCGGGTGCGCCAATGGAACGCGGAGGGACTGGATGGGGACTCACTGGGGCGAAGGAGCGCAGGAAGATGAAGAACGCGAGTGCGAGCGCGTTGGATGTCACGGACAGCGGCGCGAGGACGGGGAAGTACGTCGCCGAGTACAGGATGCCGACGCCGACCCCAATGATGATCTGGAAGCCGATCGACGCTGCGCGCGCGGTGTCCTCGGTGACCGTGCTCATCAGGCCGACGCCGACCATGACGAGGGCCCACGCCGTCCAGAGCTGCGGGCGGTACCGGCGGGACTTGGCGACGCTCACCCCCGCGATGATGGCCATGGGCCCGGTGGAGAAGCAGAGCCCGAAGAGGTCGATGCCGGAGGCGGTTGGGGAGGCGTCTTTGCATGCTTGGTAGTAGACCGGGAGGTAGTCTGCAACAAAACATGTCAGAACGTGCAGTGTAATCTTGATGATGTCGGAAAGACTTGCAGATAAGCAGGAGGTTGATGAATGAAATGAGGAATATTTGCACATATCTATACGATTACGTTTGAGCACGAGTACCGGAAGACAAAGTGGGCGTACGCACCCACTGAGGCTTGTCCTGTTTGATAGGATATGTGCGGGCACCTGCACAATAAATTGTCAATCCCCCGCGAACATGACTATATGCGCACTAAAAGGACGTACGATAGGGTGCAAACAAAATCGCCATTCGTACAAGCCCCACACGCAGAACACCACCGCGCTGAGACACAGCGGCACGAGCACGCTCGCAGACGTCCACGCGAACTGGACCCCTCCCCATGTCAAGGCGATCGCGCACGCGCACGACGCCCCGATGAGGAGCGTGTTTCCTCTGGCGTTCAACACATCAGCTCTACCCTGGATGGTGAGGCGGCGAAGCGCAGGCCACTCACAGCCAGTCAAGCCGCTTGAATATCTGCCACGACGTCCCGGATATTGGCTGGCGCGTCGGCGTGCGCATGGTGAGGAGTAAGAGGACCGCGATAATGCCTCCCGCAGGTACGTTGAGGTCTGGGACCTCATTCCTTCAGCACAGCTATCTCCGCGCATCCTCAATTACTGTACTCACAGAAGAGCCATCTCCAAGTTCGATGGTGCGCGAGCGCACCTCCTACGACTGGTCCAACGCCTCCACCCAACGCCCAGATTCTAGGTAAAACCCCAGAATGTCAGCCCTCGCGTCACCTAAGAGCCAAGTTGGCATCACGCACAGACCGAAAAGACCGTTGTAGGTGCCCCGCTCCTGCAGGGTCACCATGTCGGACAGAATGATCTGCGAGAGCGTGAGTATGCCGCCAGTGCCCGCTCCATGAACAGCTATGGCGCTAGTGTCAGAAACGCGTGGAGAACGCAATGAGGAATTGTGCTGACCTCGTCCAGCGATGAGCATATTCATGCTCTGTGCGGCGCCAGAGAGCGCGGAGCCGAGGATGAACACGGCGATCGCCCCAAGCATCACCTGGCGCCGGCCGTATGCCTGCACACATCGTCGACAACATCAGTACAACACTAAAACATTGCATCAGCTCCAGTGCGCGCACCTCAGCAAGCCCGCCACTCAGCGGCAGAAGCGCAGTGCTCGAGATAGCATACGCGCTCGCGACCCACAAGAACTGGTCCGAGTGCAGGTCGCTCACGATGACCGGCAGCGCTGTCGACACCGCGTACTGCACATCGCTTCGTCAGACAGTCTTTTGGATACTCCTAGGATGGGGAGGCTGAAGACGCACCGCTTCGAGCACGCCGAAGAACGTGCCGGAGAGGAGACACAGGAGGATGACCCAGAAGCGGGCGCCTTTGGGCGAGTGAGTAGGCGCTAGCGCTGGTGTCACGCCGGGGGAGGAGGCGAGTGTGAGGTCGGAGACAGGCTCTAGTGCAGGACTAGCACCATCTGCAGCTGTCGAGGGAGACATAGTACAAGATGAGGTATAAGATAAGCGAGAAGACACGCGCGTGCGCGCACACAGGGGAGCAAAAGAGCAGGGGATAGTCAGAAACGCAGCCAGTCGGAGGGCATGCTAGAAGACACGGAGGCCTGAACCGCGCCGGCCCAGTGTGGGAGCACAGCGGACTTACGCTGCAAGCACGCGCACACCCAGAAGGCTGAGATTGGATTTGGGCGTGCGTGCGCATGTGAAGACCGTAGAAGCTCCAGCCGAACATATCAGGGCGCCCATCCCGGGCTTCTGTGAACTTCTCCCGCCCGCGCCCGGGGTCGCTGCTATTACTGTTAGATCTTTCCGCGCGGCGCAGATTGAAATTTCAATGGGCACATGCACAGAGGACGTGCAAATGTGGTCATTGTTATGTGTCTGCAATCGTAGGGCTCTCATAGGCAGACGATACACTTACATGAATAGCCGCGTGAGGCCGCCACAAAGCTGCACAGTCCGATCCAGGACGCCCAAGCACAAACTAGAATGTACACCAAACCTTGCATACCCGAGATCGGGGCGCAGCCATCCGCGCGCCGTACAAACACTGCACCGCCCGCTGTCAAACACGCTCGCAAGGTTAGAGTTGAGCAGCATGCACCACATCCGCCGCCGCCCCAAACCGGGGCGTAAACATCGCCGGGAACGGGGACGGGTGGCTACTCGTACTTATCAGCCTCGCGGAAATGGCAAAAAACACTGCCCGCAGCGACGCACCTGACGAGCCCAGAGCTCCAGTGCACGTCCTTCACCACGCCGGGCCCTGTCACGCCCTCTGCGTTCGCGATGCGGAAGACGTGCAGCAGCGACGCCATGGTGAGGAAGAGCGTGTCGTCCGCGAAGTACCGTCCGGGGCAGACCCTGCAATGCCAATAGGTATATGTCAGTGGGAGTTCGTTACTCTCGGGCGGCCGAGGACGAAGACTCGCCTGCGGCCGAAGCCAAACGCAGCGCGCGCGGGGTCGGGCTCGCCGGAGGGCTTCGCGGGCGTCGGCGCGTAGCGGTCTGGGTTAAACGCGTCGGGCTCGGCGTATACGGATTCGTCGTGGAGCATCGCACTGTATGCTAATTGTCAGATGATCATCGGTGAAAAAGAAGGTGATATGACATACTAGAGGTTCGCGAGCACAGTCGTACCCTTAGGGATGTATCCCCCGCGGTATTCGTCGCTGTCGAGCGTTGCGTGGGGGACGCCTGCAGTTATTCAGGGTCAGCAGCCTGTTTTCGGAGTACGAGGCCGCCGCGGCGCACCGAGATTAGACACGGCCTTCCAGCGCAGGCTTTCTTTCACGACGTTCGAGACGTATGGCAGCTGGGCGCGGTCGTCGAAGGTCGGCAGGCGGTCTCGGCCGACGACTCGGTCCAGCTCCTCCTGCGCGCGTTCTTGCACGCTTGGGAACAGGATCATGGCGAGCACAAAGTTTCGCATCGCGACGATAGCCTAGAAAAAGCGAGGTTTAACATCTAGCCCTGCGGGATTTAAGATGGAACCCGTACAGTATCAGCTCCAGCTGCGCAAGAAAGACAGATTAAGCCTAGAACATCTGCAACGGGGATATTGCCTACCGCTATAGACGTCCCCGCAGCAGTCCCGAACAAACTCGTCCTTAGTAAGTCCAGTCCCTTGCCAGGGAAGGTCGTCTAGAGCCAGGAGGCGCGTAGCCAGGCATGACACAACATCTCCCGTAGCCTGTGAGGCACATGTATGAGCTAAGATAAGTTTGCTTAGTTGAAAACATCGTACCATGCGCTCCCTCACATCCTGGTATGGTTCCGAACGCATGCGTACTGACAATGCGCGCTCGATAGCCGCCTGCTTGTGAAATGACGCGCCCGGGAACCACGTTGGAAGATACTTCACTGGAAAATGCGAATGTCAACGCGTGGACTAAAACACTTAGACGCAATACGAACGAGGAGGACAAAGGTCCACGAGCGCAAAGCCAGGACGCGACTCCGCATGCTCGCGGACTATTTCTGCGATCTGGATGAAGCGGTCCTTGGCGGACGTCGCCTGGTGGCCATACGTCGTCATCATAATGATCGCGCCTGTCAAGCTGCGGCCGGAAGGGTCGGGTGTGAGTGTAGATATAGGCAAAGCGTTGTGATACGTACTGCCTGAAGTGATCGACCATAGCAGGCCCGCCAACATCAGGCGTGGCAAGCAAGCGACTGAGGAGCGCGGTGACCTCGCGTACAATGACAGGGCGGTGCAGCCGCGTGACGACCGCAGGCTGGAACTCCTGCTGCACGATGCGCCGTTGCGCGACGAACGTCTTCCCGTACGACATGAGAAGGAGGTTCCAGTCGTAGCGCATGCTATCGAGAAGTTAGAACATACGAGGGGCGCGCCGGGCCGAGAGCGGGCGCACTTACAGCTCCTTGATCATGACGAGGCGTGGGCGCGATGAGTACAGTGCACCCTTCTTGTCGAGCAGCTCGCGGGCGGCTTCGAAGCTGTTGATAACGAGCATCGGGGTGCCGAGAACGGTGAAGTAGAGCACGTCGCTCGCTGCGAGCAGGCGGGATGACAAATCAGCAAACGCAAGGGGTAATAAAATGGACACCGACAGCGTACCATATTCGCGCGTCATAGCAGCATACTTGACCCATTCGTAGCCTTTGGAAGGGAGATCTTTCAGGTTCCCTATGAGGAACTTGGGTTTGGGCCCGGGCGGATGGGGCTTGCGACTTCGTGTGCTCATCCACAGCAGGCTCAGCAGCGCGACGAGCGCAGCCGCGACCGAAGTCCCTGAGAAAGCCAGCTCAAACGCCATCTTCGCCAGTATGGCAATCGCAGCCAAGGGATATGGAGGAGATCGAAGACGCGAAGCGCGAGAGCGTCGGGTTTGGCGGGAATGTCGCCGGCTGGCCGTGTCGTGCCTCATCATGCATGAACTCAATCAGGGAACCAAGAAGCCGCCGAGCGCTGTCGGGCGCAAAACGTCAGCGACTGCGCTAACGATTGAACCCACCGGCACCAGCGCACCCGACAACATAGCCTGAAGCTCCGCCATCTTCTGGAGGATGGCACGGTCAGTGTGGGCTGGGTTGCGGCGCGGTGGGAAAACGCGTACCATGGCGTCGGCGCTCAAACAAAAGACTTCTGGGCGTCCATGAGGTACCGCGAGGCATGTCATATCGCTGTGAGTTTTTCTCTCTCTTTGAAGCTCTGGCTATACTCTCATTGGATCGTTACAGCATCCGCAGGCCATGTGCACATAGAGGTCTTGAACCAGAATTCGATGCGCAGGATGAATGTCTGTGACCTATCGTTACGTCACGACTGCTTAACTGGTAGGCAGCATGTCACGCGTCACCCCTGCTCTGCTTGCCGGCCGCCGCGAGCAGATTGTCCGTGGACGCCTCACTCAACGACGCGCAAGACCAAGTACTCCGTTTTCTCGAATCCCTGGGTCTCTTGCGGAAAACGCGGCGCTCACGAGGCGCTATCACAATTGGCCTCTCATCTTCTTCCTCCGCGTCATCCGCACCCATGAGCACCGAAAAACAGTCACTCCGGCGACATCGTGGTACATTCGTGCCGAGCGCGGAATTCTGGTGTATTGTTTTTCTGGCCTCGGTGGTATTCTGCGCGGAAGTCCGGTCGCGTCGCGCCTGCTTGACGAAGGTCTTCTTCCGCGCGCGGAGTTCTGCTAGCTTAATATGACATATATGCATGATTCGGCCGCAGCTTACCGCGATCCGTGGAAAGGGAGAGCATCGGCGACGAGGAGATTTATAGTCTTTGCAGAGGCGGAGACTCTGCACCGGACAGAATCCCAGCTTGTACTTCCAACATGTCTCCGCCTGCTCCTCTGCATGAGTCTACTCTGCGATCAGCCATCGTTTCGGCGGGGGTCCTTCCGTCCAGTATCGGTGCTTTCCTCAATACATACGGCAAGTTCCCAAGTAGTTTTGTAATCTTCATGCGACCAAATCTTAACCATCGCTTCGTTTCAACAGGGCGGTCGCGCGTCTTTAGTACACTCACCCGCGGCATCGTCAAGGGCACCCTCATCGTGGTGGATGATGACGGCACGTATAGCTTCGGCCAACCCGCGAGCAAGGAGACAGCTCCGATCGTGACCATGCACGTACACAACCCCCGCGTGTGGATACGGATAATCCTGTCGAACGATCTCGGAGGTAGATTCCACGCTTATACCACTGCTTGTGTGAGTGCTCACTCTCGGTAGTTGCCGAGGCCTATATGCAAGGCGAATTCACGGTCTCGAGCCTGAAAGACCTACTGAACGTAAAACCTTCGTGCATACATACACATTTAGGCGCCGATTGACCTTGCGTCTTTCCCAGCTCTGGTTGGATAACCGCACCACTCTTTCGGGGCTTTCGAGCATCCTGAGTTCCTTCTTCTCCCGCTGCTCCGCCCTCGCAATCAATGCTCTCGGACACCAAGCCCTTGGCAATGGCATGTCGAGGTGGAACGTGGTCGGTACATTCAACGCTTCCCTGTCACTCCTCGGCTCACACTCGTACTCAATTAGGAAGTCGCATACGACACCTCCAACGCTCTCTTCGAAGTGAGCGTCTCTCTTATTCTCTCGCCGAACAGCCTCTCGCTAAATGTCGCCCCAGTGCTTCCTCAGCAAAGAAATGATGTACTCCTGCGCGATCTGGGGCGAAGAAGAGGGCGGCGTGCGCGGCGACCTCATCTCCGGTCCGCGCCCAGGCGACCTCGAGGCCGCCCAACAGCGCAAGATCGCGACCATCCTCGCGAAGGCGCGCGTGCGCCCCGGCGACCGGCTGCTCGAGTTCGGCTCCGGCTGGGGGCCCATGGCCATCGGGGTGCGTCCCCCCTCCTCGGCCCCGGTCCGACTGGTGCTGACATGGACATCTCGCGTCCGGGTAGGCAGCGAAACTAGGGTGCATCGTGGACACGGTGACGCTCTCGCGCGAGCAGCGCGCGATGACGGAGCGGCGCGCGGCGGAGGCGGGCGTCGCGGACCGCGTGCGCGTGCACCTGTGCGACTACCGCGAGCTCCCGCCCGAGTTCGCGCACGCGTTCGACGCGCTCGTCGCGTCCGAGATGGTCGAGGTTCGCTCCCCTTCTCGCTTCTACCGCTCGCATACACATCTTGACATTGACATGCTGACAGGCTGTGGGACCGCGGAACCTGGGGACGTTCTTCCGGACGCTGGACTGGGCGCTGAAGCGCGACCGCGCAACAGTCGTGCTCACTGCGACGAGTCAGCCTGAGCACCGCTGGAGCGAGTACCAGTACGCCTTATTTTTACGCCAGTTAGTCATACGACTGCTCATCGAGATGACAGGCCCGACGACTTCGCGCGGCATTACCACTGGCCGAACACGCACTTGCCGAGCCCGCTCTCCATCGCAAACGCTGCGCAGGAGGCGACCCCAGGAAAGTTCGTGCTGCATAATCTAGAGGACCACGGGATCCGTATGTACCCCACTTCCTATACTCATATTCCCTTCTAACGCGTCATTCCAGACTACCCGCGCACGCTGCGCGAATGGGGCAGGTATGCCCGTCAACTCCCCTCTGCGTCCAACTCAAAGTTAACTTTGACCGGGACGCGCACAGACGCTTCGAAGCGAACTTTAAAGGCCCCGTCGTCGCCGAGCTGCAGGAGCGGTACCCGCAGCTGCGCGACGCGGACGCGCTGGAGGCGTTCAAGCGCAAGTGGCGGTACATGTTCACGTACGCAGAGGTCGGGTACGCGCGCGCGTACACGAACCTGAACTGCTGGACGTTCACGCGCCCGGTGGGTGACTCACGATGTCGCATTTTGGTCAAGGTGGCTGACGATATGTGGCAGGAGAACCCTTTGACGGTGTGCGCTTGAGGGTGGGAGACGTAGGTCACATTCATCGCGGAGATGTGCGATACGCGGGCGGAAATGGATGTGATGGGCGAGATTGTACCGCCGATATCGAGGTCGTATGGGGGAGCAACAGGGATATATTGGAGAGCAGCAGGGATGCATTGGAGACGGAGGGTTGCTCGCGCGGTTTCACGCAAAGGACGCGGGCGCTTATGGACTCGCACGGCTTGCTCTCGACGACTATGTCTATGTACATACGTATCTGCCCGCTTGCCTCGACTCGACTCCCTGCCTTGCTGCGACTCTCTCGCTCTCCCGTTTGCTCGCATTCTGCACTCGCACTTGAACTCGAACTCGAACTCATAGACTATCCTGCGGTGACAGTGCGCAAAAACGCGCACATTTGGCTTGCACATCAAAAGCAAGGTCAGTTTCTGACTCTTCGTGCGTAAGCACATACCTGGACGATACACAGCGCCCTGGACAACTCTCGAGCAGCCACACACTCTGATACTGAGCGAAACGGCGCCAGCGTCCGCCGCGTGCGCGGGAGTATTGCCGCTTGTGCACGACGCGACCACGAGCATGTCCGAAACGACATTGCGCACGCCCTTGTGCGGCCGCTGACCTCGAAAACTCGCCCTTCACGGGTTCGCACTCGCGGCTCATCGCGCAAGGTCTTGCCCAGCACGCCCCGCGTACCGCAACCGTGCACGGCGAGGCTGCTCATTGGCACGCAGACCGAAGATCTCACTGGGGTCTCTCAGCTCGCCTCTCGGCCCGTCCCTCAATCGCGTGAGTTCGCGTCTCCACACCAGAGTCATCGTAAGACGTACCGGGTCACGCTCCCGACTCGGAACACTGGGCGCCCTCAGAAAAGGCGTGCACCTCCGCACTACGCGATCTCCGGAATGGCACCACAGCCGTTTGCGTCGCCGTCTGCCGTCTTCCCCGGATTAGCACAGCCGCTCGCATAACGATATCGACAACGCTCTCACCTTGTGCCTGATGTTCCAGACTCACTCCCACGCCGCTCGCGAGCACCTCAGGCTCTTGCCTGTACCGCAGCTGCCCCGTACCGTATTCCGGCACAACCTCGCGGAGTACTCCGACCCCAGAACCGCCCCTCTTGCCTCCGCGCCCTCCGCGCCCTCCTCAAGGTATGTACCATCCCGGTCGCATTCTTGTGTCAATCACGAATCTTCCGCGCCTCCAGGATCAGCCGCGCGATCAACGAGACCAAGATGAGCAGTGCGTACCGTATGTCGAGCTTCACTGACTGCACTGTCGCAGATGTCTTGCATTCATGGCAACATCCGCGTGGGGGGCACTCTAGGCTCATCCTGGTGAGTCCTCCATCGCGCGGCACTGGCTCCAGCCGTGTCTCGGGTCCAACACAACCTCCCGCAGCTTGTCCATCGAAAGGAATAGGTCGCTCGCAACAAGCTTGACCTGAGGTAGAGGAGTATCAGCGACAGCGCCGGCAGAGGCCTGAGGGGCGGCCGTCAACATATGTGATGTGCAGCCGCGGCCTCAGGAACCTTCCTGACATCTCCGATTGGAACACCGTGCAACTCCCCGTTCTCGTGGCCACAAACGGAGTCGTTGAATGTGTTCAACGCGTGAAGAGACTCGACAGCTGGGAAGGCCGCGGTGCGCTTCGCCTCCTAGGTAGCCCCTCCGAGTCGTACACAAGAAGGTCCGCAGGCAGTGGTGAACTGGAGGGGCGATGCACCGCTGTGCTGACAGCCTGGTTGCGTTTCACGCACAGGCTCATCATCGAATTGCGTGCGCACACCTCGTCTCGTGGGAGCGATTAGAGCCTCACCATCGTCCGCCCCTGCGCTTCCAAACTCAGCTACGCCCAGATGGAGAAGGACAGTACATATCACATCCGGCATGCCTCGCGGAGACCGCGGGCTAAACACACCATCCCAGATGTCCTCCGTGCACGATGACGTTCGCGTCGGTGCACACTTGCGTGCACCCTGCACTGCATGCTCCTCTCATGCAGACGGCGGAACATCTTCGCTGCACACGATCTCGACTCGGAGTGTGCAACGGCCAGCCATGCCATGTGCGGTATGCATCGCAGGGCGGGCCGCCGCTGAGGTAGGCAAACCATCTCCGGCCTTTGCATTTTGTAATGCGAAAATGCGCCCAGAAGGCGCACGTCGGGCGGGACCCCCGCAGCTCTGAGCGGCGGCTCGAAGTGCAAGATGGCGCGACCGCAAAGTGTGTGTACTCACCAATTTGACTGTCCCCTCACCAGGCAAGTTCCTGTCCGACACCCTCGAGCTTGAGCTGTGCGAATCTGACATGAGGCTGCTGGTGCGTCAAGTGAGCTCAGGGAGCTGTGTGTGCGGCAGAGAGTGGGTCATCGAGCGAAATCAGATGGTGAGGGAGGAGATGGCCATGTACCTACTTAGTGAAGACTTGGTGGACAGATCCGGACAGAATGCCGGTGCGCCTACGTCGTGTGAACGCGCGAAAATTCTGGGGTAGTCTGATGCCTGTAGCGTGCACATTCCTGCTGTGAATCGACGGCTATGTCGTACTTCAGGGCTGATGGGCTTCTAATCGAGCTTTCCCTTCCAAGAAATTCAGTCAACTAGTCGATTGCATCCCTCAGGTGTCCATGACGAGTGTATCAGCTCATTCTCAAGTCCTCACTGAGCACAATAAAATGTAAGGGACTCCTGACTGATCACACCTCATGTAAAGCGCAGCAGACAGACTCTCAGGCATACCATGGCAACCTGACAGCGCCAAAATCACTCAAAAATGCAACCGAGCTCGCTACGGGCCAGCCGCTGCCCTGCAACCACGCTGTCCGGCTTTACGGAGCAGCGTAAGCAATTCCCACCCATCCCGGGCACAAAGAGCCACGCAGACATCCTCGACATGCACGAGAATGCGTGCCATGCTCGTCGGGAGCGCAGGGAGGGGCGGAAGGACAGTCTTCAGTTGCGGTGCTGTGAGATTGACAGGAATGCACGTACCTGTTGCACGCCGACCGGAATTCGCATACCTGGTGATACCGCACCCGCTGAGGCCCGCGCATTGCTGTGCCCCTCTCTGTGCCGCTTGGAACCACGCTGAGCAGCCGAAATTGTGTACGAGTCACACCATGCGGGATCCGAACCGAAGCACCAACCAAAAGGCAACACCGAACTGTTCGGATACACAGATCTACAGCAGGGTCATTCGACCACGAGATCGCCGGCGAACCACACATTGCTGCCGCAACGTGAAGAAGGCATGCAGTCGAGGGGACACACATTGTTCTCTGGTAGGAGGGATTCCAGTCCGTGTATCTCCGATAGCTAGGAATGCATTCTGAACAGCAAGAATGCAACATCTTCAGTATAGGGGTTGCAACCCCCATGCCAATTAGGCACACCGGACTTGACACCGGGCCAAGTCCGGGCGCTTAATTGTTTGAGATCGGTCTTCCCCAGTGGGCAAAGAGACGCGCTGCGATACATGCATTAAAATAAAGTGGACCACGCGGATTCGAACAACCGGCTTTGCTACAAAGCGAAGCGAGCGATGCCGTTCAGCTATGAGAGCCTGCATACATCCATCGGAGTACACGTCTACACACTGTTGTTACTCTCCCTCCTACGCAAATTCGTCGACGCCGGCTTGACACCGCGCGTCGACGCCCCGGACTTGACACCGCGCGTCGACGCCCCGGACTTGACACCGCGCGTCGACGCCCCGGACTTGACACCGCAAACTGACTGCCACAACGTCGGAAGCTGCTGTGCGCGCGGACGTCTCCTGGGGCCGCGGCACTCGCGCGGGCTCAATACTGGCTCGGGTGCGGTTCCGACCTGCGCCGCTCCTTGCCCTTGCTTTGGTAGCCAGCGTCGAGCTCGCTGCTCGCTCTTCGGGATTGACCGCCTGACCTGGATCGCGTGCACCTATGAGCGCGACGCGTAGATACAGCACTCCCATAATCGGACGTCCCTCCACCGCGTGAAGGTCAAGCACGCGGGTCAAGCAGGAGACGCTGCTCTGCCCGAAGCACTCCCCCCTTCGTGTTTCTTCTCTCCTCGCAGTAGCGGCACCGAGACCGCGCGCACTCACATTCGGATGCCGCCTACCTCGGAACGGAACCTCTGAGGCACGCGACCCTTCCAGGCCCGCGTTGCGTCCGTCACGACCACGCGTGCGCGAAGCAGGCACTATCGCTACATAGACATCGGCGATCCTGTCTTCCGGTGTTTGCCTTAGTCGCCGATGGTACCTTAAAGTTAATATACACCCCCTCACATGCCTGCCTCTTGTCCGTGCTGCCGGTGTGTGGTCTAAGTCCTGTTCGGCGTCGCCCACTATTATAAGTAATCTAGTGGACAGCTGCGTCCGAATTGCGACCCACACACCCTAAGTATCCACTAGTCAACCTCCTCCGATAACCCGACGCTCTGTCAATGAACGGTCATCACATGCGCCACACTCAAACTGTTCAGCTCGCGCACCTGGACTATATCCCCCGGAAACCGCGCGCGCGCATCTTTCATCAGGCGCTCGTACCGGTGCGCTTGTCTGTCTAGACGTTCCAGCCAGTCCGTCGGGACATCACCACGTTTACGTACCTGCGACTATACACCGCCGCACCTGCCCGATGTTCCCCCTCCGCCTCGGTGGCTCTCGTTAACCATACACGCTCCTCGTTCTCGAAGAAGCGGAGGCAACGGAACATCTCCTCACGGACAATGTGCAATTCCTCCTGCCATCGAGCCATGGCTGCGCGCCGGCGGAACCAGAGTGGACGTGATTCTGTCTGACATCAGCCGAGATATCCCTCACGTAGGCGAGATGACTCACTCTGTAGCATGAATTCATGAATCTCCTCATTCGGTTGGTCTTGAATATACGCCATGTCCTCCCAGAGCCAACTCAGCTGCTGTCTGCTTTGCCCGCGACGATGCTGCTCTGGGGTGATAACGAAGGGCTTCGCGTCCTCGTCCGTGAGCACCTGATACGTACTATCATCCTCCGGCATGCCCAGAACGCGCAAAATGCGGCGCACGCGACGATACTCTTCCTTAGCGCGCCGTCCGATCGAGATCTCCGTAGCTGCCATGCCCTTGATTCGGTTGCCGTGAGTCTGACCAGTGCCTTGTTGTTTGAGGTCTTGTAAGCTGTAGAGCGCCGTGAGGTGTGTGCGCAAAGTCCTGAGCGTGTCGTTTGCTTGCCCTTCACGCAGTTTGCGTTCGATCTGGACCACCTCCGCAACATCCTTATGTTCGCGGACCCTGACGTGGTACATCGAAGGTAGATCGACTCGGACGCCATCGAGATCGTCAATGAGCCCTTGCAGGACCGCATCGTCAAGTAGTTTGACTGAAATTGTTGTCCGATGTCAGCTGCGCGTTATACAGACGAGTCCCAACCTCCATACCTTTCGCGGGCTTCTTCTGTCCGGGTACGCCGTTCGCGTCGTCATCGCTGCATAGCGGGAATGAGGCTGGAAGGGTGACGGGGAGCCCACCGGGTCCGGACTCGACACGAACGGAATCTGCGGCAGCAGAGAGAAGTGGAGCGACGTGGATGTCGAACTCGCCTGCATACTTCTGGGACTTTCGGCTCAATGCCAGTACCCTTTTACTCAGGGCATTCACCGCGCGAGACTTGGTGGGATCGGCTCCTTGCACCGCCTCAACGACAATCAACCTACACGAGAGATCAGCTTCCGGTTCAAATGTACGGTGATGTGAACTCACTTTTCCCGCTCGACGTCCATCATTCCTTGTATTGCCGCGACAATGCCGACTCCCTGAACGTGCGACTTCGCCCCGCACTCTTCAGCAAGCAGGGACGAGATGGCCTCCTCGGAAAGGGCTGATCGCAGTGAGCAGTAGTCGCACGGGTACGTCAACTCTACTCACCTGCATCTGCCGGAGGGCTGTACGGGTTGTCCAGGTCCTTGTGGTTGTTGATGTCGATGACCTTGCCAAGCCATTCGGCCTCCGCAGCGCGCCATGTACTGAGCAAGCTGTCCGGGATCTTGCTTTCCAGTTTTCGGAGGGTCTCAGTCGTTTCCGCCAAGAACTTTGTCGCATCTTTCCACCTGTCGAAGAGGCTTCGGCCTGTCCGAGGCCCATCAGTAATCGTGACGGCCTAACAGCCCGAATGGCTCACCTAGGTGCCCGAATGGCTCACCTAGGTCATGCACGCGCCTCACGTTGAGATCGGAGTACTGATCGTTCAACACGTCTTGTCGATGTCCGGGGGTCATTTCTTTGGTCCGAAGCGCCAGATCGTTAGTCGCAGCCCACACTCGCTCCATTCCCTCGCCCTCGTATCGGCCGGCGCCGGGATGAAACTCGGGAGACTGCTTGACCCGACACTCTGGCTTGTGCGCGTTGACGTGCCACCCGCCAACATAGCCTTGCAGGCGCGGAATGTCCAGTGACTTGATCGACGGCAGGCTGGGACAGCGCTCCTTCCATTTCAATATACGCTGATTGAAGTTGATCAGGTACTGGCAGCTGATATCGTACGATTGTTTCAAGAGGCGCAGGCCTACGAAAGGTTGGATACCGGAGACTACCGCGAAGTCCACATAGAGGTATCTAGCACCAGTCAGACATGTACACAGAACGGCGTCGGCATGGTACTTACTGTTCCGCCTTCGTCAAGTCGACGATACCGCGTGCCATCATGAACATGTGACGACATGCAAGGGCGACGATGCCCGAGACCTTTCCTGTGTGTCCTGTGTAGCCCATCGCTCCGAACTTGTGGCACGACGAAGCCTACAGTTCTTATCAGCTTCGTTGACAACCATTCGCAATCGAACAGACATACCTCAACGTCGGGAGTGCCCATGTCGTCCAGATACTGATTGAAGTCCTTGTTGTTGCTGAAGTACGCGGCGCCCTCTGTCATGGGCACATCGTTCTTGTCCATCGGTTTAGCGCGAAGGCTTTGGCGGAAGTTACCGTCGATGGAGTAGAACAGAGCGTCCACGTAGCTGCGCAAGGACGTTAGCATGCTCAGCCATTAAGTCAGTCGCACTACCTTACCCGAATGTCGGATCCCTGGTCTCCCAGCCCGGTCGCATGTTCTTCTCAGGATGAGGGCAGCACGGGCATAGCACCGCGAGAGACCCGGCCTTCAGGCTGTCTTGAGCCACAGAGGCTTTGCCAGGTGACTTCTGTCCGTGAGGCGCCTGCCCGGATCGTTTACACTGCCGCAGGAACGTGAATTCCCTAGCTGCTGTGTTGAGCTCCCTGTATCGATCCTGTGCGCGATGAGCAGACGAAACGTCTCTGCGAAAGCATTACTCACTGGAACCGAGTCTGGCGATATGTTGTCCGTAGTCCGCTTGATGTACTTGTAGTAATCTTCCGCGCTACAGTGTGTTTGTAGCGATAGCAGGTGGTATGAGCGCATCAGGCCCATCGTGAAGGCCGTGCAAGGTTCCTTCCACGAGGCGGGGAAGAACCCATGCTCGAGCAGTTGGTAGGGCTCCGGAACTAGGAGCTTGTTCGAGTTCAGGTTTTCAGTACATTCGCAAAACACGAATGGCATGGTCGTCACGCCGTTCTCGTGCACAAACACCATCTCGCGAGCCGGTCGAGTCACCTGTGGGCAAGGTTTGTCGTGTCGCCCGCCATACAGTCTCACGCCGAGGTCCGCCAAAGAGATTGTCTCCCAGAACCCGTTGCCTGCGTGCCACCGCCAGATCCTATGGAAGGGCATGGCCCGGTGGCTCTGGAGAATGCACTCCTGGCAGAGATGCGGCCTAGCGAGGCAGTCCATGCACCGCAGGCGGTCTCTTCCAGGTCCAGGCATTGGGAGAGGAGAACGGCACATGGCGCACCCGTCCCCGTCCGATCGCGGCGGCCCCTCCATCTCGAAGATCGTCTCATGCACGCGCACAGCGTGGTCAAGAAACAGGTCGCATCGCGTGGATGGTTGCTAAATGTCGTTAGAGAGCGCAGACGAGATGGATCATTGTAACTCACAATAGTATTGTTCGCCTTCGCCTTCTTCTTCTTCTGCTTCCCCCCCTCCTTCGATTTCGTCACATCCACCGTCGGTTCCTCCGAGGCCGCATGCGCATCGTTGTCTTCAGGTGGTAGCGTGTCTCCCGGTTGAACGTCGACATGGGAGTCGCCGAGACAGACACACGGGTCTGACACATTCGACGACTGAGGCAAAGGCGGAGGGGGAGATTGCTGCAACGGCAACGTTGACGTGCCATCGTTTGACGTCGCAGGGCGGGGGTTCAAAGGCACGAGCCGCATTCTGGGTATTTTCTGGGGAGGGGCCTGTTCATCGTCGATGTCGTCGAGGATCGCATCGGTCGACCATTCTTCGTTCGCATTTTGCCCCTTGCGCTTCCTCGCCTTCGTGGGCTTCAGACGACCTCTCATGGCCTTCGGGGGTGACCGCCAGACCTAGATGAAGTGGGCGAAGCAAGGTTCGGAGGCGTTGCAAATCCGCGCGGAGGGCGCCGCTCGTACATCGAATCTTTGCGTGTGACGATATCAAAATCAAGTCCTCCTCCATCGATCGACCGCCCCAGACGCATCCCTATAGTCATGTAGCTCTCCGAATGCATGCGATAAGTACATACTACGATACATGCGACTCGCGATGTCCATTGTCTGTACCCCTCTAACACGCATTTGCTCCGCTCTACCTGCAGATGTATACCCGTATTCTAATGAATGGCGTTCAAACGAGAAGGGGAGTCCAGAGAATGCGACGTGCGATAAGGGTCGCCGACGTGTTTCGTCCAGGACGTCTGAGCTTGCCCATACTGCGTGAAAGTTTGACGAAATCTGCGTCGACACCCGGTGGAGGCCGGACCTTCGGGTCGCGGCGGGTGAAATCGGGTCAGCGCGGTTAAACACAATGGTCTCGGAGGCACATACTCAACGAAAGCATGAGCGGCCGCGGATGCATATCCACGTTCAGATCGACCGACGATCTAGCGCCCGATCGGGAGGTTGTGGGGTCACCGTTCATCCAGCGTTGCCCCGCCACCGTGCCTGTATTCATCGGAGAGCTATGTTAGCAGCCTTCGACGCCAGGAGGGGTACGCACCACGTATGACGGGCAGACACGGTACCCTACTGTCCTTCCTTCGTGTTAGGACGTGAAGACGTCGCGCAGCGATGTGAGCCGTTCTCTCCAGACACAGCGGACAGGTTGTGATGTCAACAAAGAGTGGCGTCGAGACTGAGTATGGCATAGGACAGGTAGTACAACAGTAATGGACGGTCTTCGAGCTAGAGAAGTTTGGTCGATCGAGGGTCGGAGGCATTGATAATGGCTAGGCCAATATCATGGAATCCCAGACGAGCTATAGAGCATGCAACGGCGCATAGGGCCGGCACAACTCTAGGGAGCTCGTCCAGAGGTGGGACGAGGTAGAGGGTAGAGGGCACTGGTGGTGGGCACCGCGAGAGCACTGTGACGGGAGTGGACTTAGCCGATTTCGAGCGACACTGTTGGAGCGGCGACCAAAAGTGAGCTGATTGGTATTAGTCCAGATTACTGGCACACCCGTTATCCCACCTACTTTCGAGGTAAACACAGCAAGTAACGCAGCCGAAAGCCAGTAAGTAGAGAACAGTCACGACCGCCTGGCGCCGAGCTGGGAACTTTGACGTGTTGCTCGCTTTAGTTCTGAGCATCACCCACCACCTCCCCACTTCCTCGCCTTCTCGCCTCCTCGCTACGATAACAACCCCTCCCCTTCCACCATTGTGTCGTCCACTGGAAAATCGGGCGAGCTATAAGCTGGACCTGATCTACTGGTGACGGTGCAATTATCTGGGAAGCTTGCATTGGCTCTATAGCCAGGCCAAGCCACCAGTCCGACACCTACCTCCCGCAAGACTCGACTCGCCAGCTCTCGTCCGCCCGCTTCTCATTTCGCGTGCAATCGTTCGCTACCGTGGTGCCCCTTGTCCATTCATACTATCCTGAACGCCGCGTAAGTCGATTAAACCTCGCGAGTTATACGTGCCTGCTGGTGATTGTCATTCCACGCGTTCTCATAGCCCCGTCACGCAAGATCTAGTATAAAAAGTAGTAAGTCGTTTCGCTGCTGTGTATGGCTACGTTTGCATCAAATAACATTCACAGATCTGTCTCAATGTCGTCAAGCGAGCCCTCGCAACCGTCGAAAACTTCGTCCATGTTCATACGGCGTAGAGTCGTTGCCCCGCCTCCTGCGACGGTCCCTGCGTCGACGGCCGATCCCGATGGCAGCGTCCCTCTCCCGGAAGACGCTGGTACAACACAGGGCGGTGTCGGCGAGAGTGGTCCCGCCGCGAACGAGGTCGCCGAGGTCACCGTTGAACCGGTCGATCGCATCACGGTGCTGAAGGTGAACATGCGCGGCGCCGGTGAGTTCCAAATCGATACTTCATTGTGGGTGGCTTGACTTACATGCAGGCAGTCCCGAAGGTTACGCACCCGTACGGTGGCATAGGGTCTCAAGACGGCTTCACCACGATGTGTGTCACCACGCCAAATCAGGACTTCATACCCGAGTATCCTGTGGAGCGCACCATGATCAAGACATATGCGGACGGCCGATGGGGAGTGCACGAGTACTCACGGTGGCCCCAGCTGTTGGTCGACGGAATGTGGCATATCGCCTGTATTCCTCGACGTGACTGGGGGCTGCGGAACGGCCTCAGAGAAGTCCTGTGGCGCTCCTTGAAGACCTCCGACTGGAAGGAAGATCCTACGGCCGTCGTCGCGGAACTGGGCTTCATCGAGAAGACCGTCGTGGATGACCTCGCTAAAGCCGCCGAGACGAGCATCGCGAGGTATCAGGCCATCGAGGGTGTTCCTTCGCATCGGATGGAGTACGGACTTCAGTTGATTGTTGTGCTCCGCCAGTGCATGGACCGCCTCAAGCTGCTGGCATCTGGCCCGGCCACCGCCGTAGCCGTCGCTGCACATGTGCAGAGGCTAGCTTTGGAGCTGGCAGGGTTGACGACTTACCTCACGGTCGTTTTACCTCGACTCGAAAGTCACGACGACTACAAGTTGTCGTTGCTGGAAGTCATCGGCGCATTCGTGAAGGAAGGGACCGCGGCAGCCACCTGCGTTCGCCTCGGCCTCCCCGTTTTCTTTCTCCAACCCCTCACCCGGCACATCAAGGTGTGGCAGGTTGTGTCTGTGACGCGGGCTTCGTTCGAGTTGTCCGAGACGGACAGCAGCCAGCCTATTCTGCACAGGCCAAGGGAGTTTGCGGGGATGATGAACCTTACGGGGAACTGGACGGCTCACATGGTTGTGCGGATCAGTCGGGACCTCTGTTCCTCCACTTTGCCGGAAATGTCCGCACCCACAGCGTCGGCGAGCGGGGAGGCATCCCCGGAGGCCAAACGACCCCGCGCTGAGTCGTCTCAGATGGCCGGCAAGCAACTCGCCATGCCTGTTCGCACTCGGCCTGTTGGAAAACCAGGAGGTTCGGCTGGAAGTAAAAAGGGTCATAGAGGAGGACACAAGAATCAGGCACGTACAGTCTGCTTCGCTTTTGTACACGTGGCGCTAACCCCGTTTTGGTTTGATAGCAGGAGTCTGCCTCGCCCGGAGCGCTGGAACGTCCCATAACCTCAGCGGGAGGAGCTCACCCTTCGCGCGAATACATGCGATCTCCATTCTGCTCTCTCCCTTTTGTTTGGGTCCGAGCCCTAGTGGAGGCCGGCACGTTGCCCCAGCCGCCTGGATCGATCGTCTACTTCTTTCCCCCGCCGTTCTTACTCGACACTGTGTCTACTCTGGCACCGGCGCCTGACGGCTGGGATTCTCAAACGGTCCGCCAAGATGAGAAGGTTCACCGGTACTTGCACAATCTCGTCCGCATCCGCTCCTTCTGCCGCCTGCGCCTATTCGACCCTACGCGTGACGGCCGCCCGCTCTCCGTGGCCGATTGGCGCAACGCGCTGTGGGGCGATTATGTGGTGAAGGATCAGCCCGTAGTCACCACGACAATCGCTGATAAGAAGCGTTGCAAGCGACGGTACGAGGAGAAGAACGCGGTCTCTCGGCTGTTCGGGCGGGACGGCTCGTTGAGGTCCTACCGCGAAGACGATGCATTCCTTCTGGGGGACATTGAGGTCACCAGAAGTGTGGCGTGTTCAGACCGGCGCGTGCGCTCCCTGCTTCTGTGGGAGTCGCACGAGCTCAACTTCCGGTGCGAGCTGGTCGCCCTCGATCGGGCGCTTCTTCCCCGCACGGGCTGGCCTGCCTTCAGCCAATGGCAACGAGAAGCTCGGCTCTCCGGTGTTTGGGGAAGCAACTCCGGGGTGCTGAGTGTGTTGCCGGAGGTTCCGGGCGATCACGAAAAGTTCCAGTGGCGTACGTCGTCGTCGCCAGACTGGCGGGACTATCTGAGTGCCATGCGGGCCCTCCTGGCAGTCATGGCGCGCTGGCCAGACCTCCCCAGCGTCCTGCAGGACCTGCCCGTCAAGGAGGAACTTTGGACCGAGGATCACTTCGAGCAGGCCCAGTCGGAAGCAACCCGATTCTACACGAAGACGTTCGTTCGCCACTTCCACCGCCTCCCCACCGTCCCCATCCCATATCCCGGGCAGTTGTAGACGATACTGTAGTTATTTAGCTAGCGTTGTACATGTATATGTCTTTGCGATGGTTTACTGACAATGTGGTAGCATCTGTGTACTGAGGAGCTAGAATGTCTTGCGGCGGGCCGAAGCGTATGCCTGATGCGGTGTCCGCACATGCCTAGTCGGGACCTGCGTACTCCAATTCTCGTTGTGTTGACCTGTCACCTCTGTCCGTGCGCCGCCCCCCGTCCTACTTCCTGCTGTCCTCTCCCGCCCGCTGTCCTCGTCCTTCGCTATGGGGAAGCAAGATGAGGACCTCCGGGACCCCGAGAAGGAGTGGCTCGAAGTGCAGTTCAAGCGTGCTGACGTGCAGGCTAAGCTGGCCGGCGAATCCAACAGCATTCTGAAGGATGTGACACGCCTTATATATCCTGACTACCTAACTGTATTTTCAGGTCCTCTGGAGGCGGAAACGGAGGCAGCGTTCAAGCGACGGCTGAAGAATGCTAAGAAGGAGAAAAAGGGGAGCATGTTCCGTCGGCCGGCGGAGGAGCTCGACGAAGTTGAAGAACGCAAGTCCAAACGGTTCAACGTACGTGGGGTTGTTATTTGACGAGGCTTGTGAAAGATGACAACTTCGTGTTAGGTTCTGAAGGAGTGGTTCAAAAGGCGACGTCGTAGAGAGAAGGAAAATGGCAAGGAAAGCGCTCCTCTGCCTCCCGTGCCGCCGCTTACTCCACAGCGTCGCGGACGACGCAAGGGAGGGTTGGATATGTACATTGCAAGCCCTGCCGGGAAGAAGCTCCGTGCCACGACATCCAGCGACTGGGCCGGGCCAGGAAAGCACCGTCAGAAGCTCGCGCAAGCGTTTCACGATCTGCACCCGGACAGTCAAGCCGATTTCGATGGACAGGCTCGTGCGAAGAACGCCGAACTTCTCGCCGAGGAACTCGATGAAGCAGGAAGTTCGGAAGAAATACTGAGAGTGTTGTAAGTGGATGTTAACTGGCACGGCTTGCCGTACACTCACTGCTTTTTCAGGAAGGTACCTGGCGTGCGGGATTGGTTCCAAGGTATCATGGAACATCTCCGCGAAGAGGTGGAATGGATAGGTGGAGTTCTTGTGGGCGGACCCGACGAGAACGGGGAGATCAAGTTGGTGAAGTATGTGAGATGCGCATCCTCTGTAATTTCGCACTAACGACGTGCACTAGTGCCTCTAATGGGCGTGATGCGAAAGACCGCGACTACTTTGGCGCCCTCGCAGAGGAGATAGGGTGGAATCGCAAGGTTCTCATGACGTGGAGCCTTAGCTGGTTCCAACGTGCATTCACAGGTATGTACGATAGCTAGAGGAGGACTCCCTTATTGACTGCGATCTAGGTCCAGTTCAAATGCCTCGTGAGATGTCGATAGAGTCAGATGCGACCGTCAGACCGCCCGAAACGCCAACCGCCGGCCGCTCGCGCAGAAGCTCATCTCCGGCTTTCGCGGAGACGACCAACGAGTTGCCAAATCCGTTCACAGACCTGCCTAACGAGGGTAGTGCGAACGGCAACGTGGCCGAGCTGCCGGCCAGCGAGCCGCCCGCCGCGCCGCCGCCCTCATCGCCTGCGCCG